TGCTGATTCTTCTTCTAAAGCTAAAGATTTGGTAACATTAAGGAAAGAGCTTGGTGATAAAGAAACAATTTTAAATGATATAAAAAATAAAGAAATTCAAATAAGAAAAATAGCGAAAAAATATAAGACTCAATTTGAAGAACTTGCAAAAACAGTAGAGGAAGAAAAAAATAGATCAGAAGAGTCTCGAATGTCTACTGGTACTTCTGCAAATGAAGATAATGTTCATGTATCTCAAGAACGTGAAGATCAATTGCGAGAAGAAGGCAGACAAGAATTACGTCAAGCAAACTTAGAATTAACATCAAAAATTGATGAATTGTCTCGTCAAATGATAGTTGTACAAAATGAAGCAGAATCATTAAAAAAAGAAATCGATACTATGAATAAAACAAGTGTTGAAAAAGAAGAACGTGCAAAACAAGTATTAAAAGGTGCAAGAACTAAAATCATGCAATTAACAGAATCTAAAAAAATTTGTGAAAAGGAATTACTTGACTTAAAAGCAAAATTTGAAGCTGGTGCTAGTGAATCAGACACTGCTGAACATGACGCTAGACTTGCAGCACTTAAATCTCAAATGGAAAGTAGAATCTCTCGTCTGGAACATGAAAAATCAGAAATTCAGGCAGAAAAAGAAACTCTTGTACAGAGAGTTACTCAATTACAGCGACAATTAGCTGGTGTTAGTGGAATCAGTGCTACTACAGAACCACCAACAGCTAATATAAAACCTATGTCTGCACGTGCTGAAACTCCATTAGCGAGTATTCGTCCTATGAGTGTGGTAGTACAATCTAGAACAGCTGCCGTTTTACCTACAACTGCTACTGCGCCAGTAATGGTTGCACCTCATCAGCAGCAACAATCACAACAACAAGTAGTACATACTACTGAAACAAGCTCGCCAACTAGTAGTCTTCCAGATTTTCAACCAGCCAGTACTAGTAGCAGTTCATCACAGACAACACCAAGTACTTTACGACAACTCGTTGTACAGCCACAATTAAGTGAATCTGCAGAATCAACACAAAGAGAAGATCCAGAAAGTGCAGAAACGCTTAGTGTACAACAACAGCAATGTCAACAACAACAGCAACAACAACAACAACAACAACAAACTGTTGCACTAGTTAGTCCAAGAGTAGAACAACAACAACAGCAACAACAAGCTGTAGTTAGTGATCAACAGCAGACTGTGGCTAGTAGTTCTACACAATCAGTAAGCACATCACAAGCTTCAACAGGTCATAAACGTCCTAGAGCTCTTGATTCAACAGCATCAGGATCTGGAATAGTTGAAGGTGTAGATCATAGTAGACAAGAACAAGTGCTTAGTCCCAAAACTAAACGAAGTAGACAAGAAATGTCATCTACTGCTAGCGCAAGTGCTTCAGAGGTCGAGTACCAGGTGAATTTAGATAATGAAAATATAAAATATATCAAATAATAATTATATATTTAAAGTATGATATATCTCTTTAATTTTTAGGTACCAACTTCGAGCCAAAGAGATCAAGATGAGGAAATAGAAGAGGGATGTGTTGTTGTTGTAGATTGTGATGAAGGTGAAGGAGGAGGCAATCATCAAACACAGGAAGAAGAAGAATTTGATAATGATCCATATGAAGAAATGGAAGAAGAAGAAGAAATGCCTTATGAAGTAGAAGTAGAAGTAGAAAGGGATAATAATGAAGTAGAAATTATAATGGGTGAAGATTCTACAAGTGTAGAAGTTCCTAGACAAACTCAAGTAACAGTACCTACGAACCAACAACAACAACAATCAGAAGCAATCAGTAGTGCTGGACCAACAGGAGAACCACCTACATCTTTTACAACTCGATCTTCACGTGGAATTGCACCAATGCCTAGGCAACAACAACAACAACATCTTCTTTTGGTAATTATTTTTATTTTTATAAAAAAATAAAAAGAAATGAAGAGATTTTAATAAAATGATTTTTAGCCACAACAAGGATATGAGGATGGTGGTGATGATAGCATAGTACCAAGTACTCCAACTTTATTTGTACCACGTCGAGGAGATGGATTTGGAGAAGCTGTAAGTTCTCCTCAAGTTCCTCAAGGACGTTTTACTTTTGGAGATTCATCTGCACCAACAACAGCATCATCAACTCCTTCGTTATCAACTCCTTCTGGATCAACAACTCGAACGATATTTGGATCATCTAGTTCTGGTGTAGCACAAGTAATTCAAGAAAGCATGGATGATACACGAATAGATCTTGTTCAATTAGAAGATGGTGGTACTGGTCGTAGTGTACCTACTACTCCTTTACAAGTTTCACCAGCAGCTGATTTACCACCTTCGGTATAAAAATTATTAAATGTTTTTATATAATATTATACTTCCATCATTTAATTTGAATGATTTACTTTTAGACAAGCAGTGGACCATCAGAAGAACAAGAAACCCCAGTTTCAGTAACACCAATATCAGTAACAGGTACTACTGTTGGTGATACCAATGAAGAATCTACTATACCAAGTATTCGTGTTCTTGGTGTTGATGATCAACAACATAATCAAACTGAAATAATTACAGAATCTATTAGTACTACTCCGACCGAAGGTAATTATAAATTATATTATTATATTATATATATAATATTATATATAATATTATATTACAATATATTATGTATAATATGTATAATAATAATAATTATACAAAAAATATAATTATAATATTTTGTGTGTGTGTGTGTGTGTATGCACGCGCGTGTGTGTGTAATTATATAGGTATGAGTTCAGAAGGCGAAAAGCGCACAGAAGAAGCTGGTCCTTTAATCTCTGGAGATGATGATGCAGTAGATACTGGTGAAGGAACTGAAGAGCCAGGAAGTGATATAGTAGAAGATGAAGTAGAAGAAAGTCGTGAAGCAGAAGCGTCTCCATCAAGTAATACTCGTCAAAGAGCAATGGCAGCAGCAGCTAATGCTGCAATTGCAGCTAATGGTACTAGAGGTGCTACAGCAAGACGATCAGCAAGATCATCATTTAGAACAACACGTGGTACTCGACCTACACCTATTGTATGGGAAAGTCAACCTGGTGGTAGAGGTAAATATAATTATAATAATAAATTGTGAAATAATATATATTGTCTTTATATAATTTCAAATCTTGTACAAAAATATACAATTTTTTTCAAAGGACAAAGCGTAATACGTGGAGGACATGCAGCAAGAGGAACAAATAGCGAAACGGGAAGAGGACGCGGAACAAGAGGACGACGAATGCGATCTAAATATTCATATGCGCGATTTTAAGTTAAATAATTTTGAAATCATGAGAAAAATTGCACATTATTGTCTTTGTACACGAATAGTGTAAGAAATGTTGACTATTAATATATCAACTTTCAAAACAAAAAATATTTTTATTTAGTGATAAACGATAATTTCGTTGTACAGATACATTTGTCGATACGACATTTGTTATATCTAAACTTAGAAAAAACTATAATATAAATCTTATAATGGCAGTGTATATCTTTTTACATGAAAAATTAATGAAATTAAAAACATAATTTCATTTCTTTAAATTTTTTAAATCAAAAGTGACATTCCTCATAACAAAAATTTTTTCAAAGAAATTAAATTAAAATTAGCATTTAAGTTGTCTTATTTTATTTTTTGGATTGACTTTGTATAATTATTTATTCGATGTCATATATAAAGAGTATTGAAAATATGTTTGTGTGAAATACTTTTCTACAAGATATATATTTTAATTAGGTTTCATAATCTATTTAATGTTCGCATGAAAATTTTATTAAAAATATTTAACAAAATGTATAAGTATTTTATTTTATGTAAAAGCATACTTCTTAATTTTATAGATTTAAGTTAGAATTTTATCTTTTTCAATAATTATACAAGTATGCATTTGGAAACATATATGTATGTTTCAACTTTCGAATCTATTAATAAATAGTATAAAATCCTTAAGTTTTATAATATCTAATACAATTTGATATTTATTATGAAATTTATTAGAATAAATAAAAAAATATATACATTCCAGATATATCTAAAAATATAACATATCATTCGTATATCAGTCTTTTTAGCCTAGTTTAGTATTTTAATAGTATCATCAATTAATACTTTTTCAATACTCAAATAATATTATTTAAATAAAATTTACAAATATATATATATATATATACACATACATACATATACATATTATATGTATCAAAAATATATATATGTGTGTGTGTATATATATATATATATATATATATATATATACACATACGTATATATACATATTATATGTACGTTAAAAATATATTCTGAATGAGAATTTAAAAAAAAAGAAAATACATATATATGGAAAATACTGGAGCTATTATAATTAATTAATAAATATTTTACACATTTTTCAATGCAATTTAAAATTTATCAATACCGTAATTTTGATGTTGTTACTATATAAATAAGACAATATCACAATGATAAATATTAAAATTGTTCTTCTATATAAATTAGCGTAATTTCTAAAATAATAGGCTTTGGTCCTCTTTATTTTTGTTTAATATTATTAGAAATATTTATGAAACAAAATAAAAAACATACTTAAATAATTATATAAATAATTTAATTTTTAAAATTGATATCATCTAAAACTTTTTAAATTTTTAATAAAATTAATCATATATTTTTTTAAAAAAATAATGATAATTTCTATAGTTTTATATGATATCAATAAGAAATCTAAATTGTAGAAAATTTTATCTATTTGCTTTTTAATTATTGTAAACCGTAAATTTTCCTTGATTTTACTATAAATATAAACAGATTGTTAAATATTCTATTTTTTGAGAATTCATATAAATGCATAATAATTGCATATTTAAGAGATGATTTCATTATTGAGTTTTATGCCAATTTTTTTGTATTTTTTTTTTTTTTTTTTGTATTTTTTTGTAGCATTGAACATATTTATATCAAATTAAACTAGTATATTTAAAAAATTAAGCAAAACCAAAAGAAATAGCAATATTTTTAATTATTTTAATTCATTAGCAGTCTTATGTTTCTTATAAATCAATACTGTCAATTACATTTATAATTTGTTATGCAAAAAACATTCAGTTTTTAATGTTTTGCTTTAGCTGCTCTAATCAATTAATATCAAATTAAAGTTACATTAGGCTGTAAATGTTCAAATTGATATCGATTATTGATCGTGGTAATTTCACAGGAGCATTTATCATGTTGTTCCACTCTAATCCATTGTCTTCTGTTATTATTAGTTTCCAAACTCCAAACTTCGATTTCAATCTCTTCGTAATAGATCGCCGATTCTACAGGTGAACAGCTCATTAATGGACTCGCACAACATCCAGAATGTCCGTCACATCTCTTTAGAACTATATAAACAGGTTGAATAGGACTTTCTCCAGGATTCTGATGAACATTTTGCATCAAATCTTTTAAACTATACGCTCGAAATTGTGGTTTTTTACAAACAAATGTCTTGGATGCTTTTACTGCATCTGATAAAGTAATTCTTCCGATTATTCTATGATGATTATCGCTATTTGTTACCGCTGATTGGACCATACTGTCCAAGATCAACAAGATGAATATCATTAACTTTAGCGAAGAAAATTTATTTTTCATGCCTCGTTTCTATTAATTTGTTCTATAATTTTTATTTAATTTATATCACTATAGTTATTTTTATGCATAACTCGTTTAAACTGAAAATTTAACTCACTAGGAATACGTTCATAAATTTAAATTCTATGGCGCGATACTTGATGAACATATTTGAAATATGTTCTTTTAGTCAAATTATATGAATCACTGACACGTAGTCGTATCAAGAGACGTTCAACTGAGACTTTCCTGTTGCCAGAAGTGTATTTATACTTATGGAAGAACTTGCATACATAGTCTACGCAAGGTATATGCACATCGATAGAGATTCATGCGCACGTAAATCCAATATCCTAATCTTGATTTTGTGGTAACATTTACTCATGCGATTCCTTAATCACTTGAAATATCCTGATGCATAGAAATCATCATGGTTTCTACCTTATGCATCATGGATTTCATTCTTAATTTTACCTCAAAACTTAATCTTGAAGTTATATTATATATTATATATACATTATAATTTAATATGTAATAAATAGAGTTTCATTCTATAAATATTATTCCATTTTATATATTTTTCAAATGTAAATTTACACAGTAAATTCTTGTAATTCGTCACGATCTTCAACATGTTTTCCAATACAATCGACTAACTTTTTGATAAGAAGATGTAAATGCTTATATCAAAGTCGAACTTCGACTTTTCTTCTGCTGATACGTTATTAGAATAATCTATCACTCATATATACGAAACTTTCAATATATATTTAATATTTTTATCGATATTAAGTAAACGTGTTATATGTATTTCAATGAATCAATGATATAAATAAGATCGTATAAAATATGGAAATAAAATTTCATTGTTATTCATTGAAATTATAAATTAAAATTAAATATATTTATAATTTTATTATAAATATTTATATTTTTTATCACATTAAATATTTTTATCACATAAATTATTTTTATTTTTTATAACAAACTTAAATTTAACATTATTAAAAATTCTGGATATTTTTACCTGGATTCTTTTTTTCTGGAAAGTACAATTGACTCATTGATATGATTCATTGAGAATTTAAATTCAATAAATATTTTAGGAACATAGTATTGTATTAAATAATTTGTTGCTTCACATAAAAATTTATATTTATATATTTATAATTTGTATATATATTAAAATCAATTGTAAGCTGCGATTCTGAAATTTTAAGAAATATGAACTTGATGATTCAAAATTTTTTCACAAAAAATACTTAATGTAAAAAAAAAAATTGAAATGAAATCAATTTTTCGCAATGATTTCTTTAAAATATATTTTGAATTGTTGAACTATTTATAATGTGCACTTAATTGAATAAATATTTGTTCTTTTTTTTAATTTTTTCGTATTTGTAATATATATATATAACATATATAAATATTTTAATTTTCTGAACATACTTTTTTTTTTCAATACATTTATACATTTATATATTTATATTGATTTTTATGTTTTATTTAAAGAAAATAAAAATATATTTTATATTTAGTTTCTAATAAAATAAAACAGACTTACATTAAGTAACATTAAGTATATATTTATTATTTATTTATTTTATATTAATTATTTTTGATTTCGTTTTATATTTATTGTATCAGTCTTATTTAAATATATTTAATTCGTAGAAATATAATTATGATAATTAAAATTATAAAATAATGAATTTTTATACTTTTCCAAATAAGTTAAGTTTCATGTTTTTCGTATTATATGTGTATGATTTCTAATATGATTTTAAGAAATCATTAGTTCTTATAAAATTAGGCAATTATATTCTTATCCATCTAATAAGAAACATTATTAATAAACATCATTAATAAACATCATTATTAAAAAATATATATCGAATTATAATCGAAATATAATCGAATTGAATTCGATTGCTCTTGATTTTTACATATAAAGAATTTTTGAGATTTTTTTTAGAGAAATTTTAACTTTCTAACAATTAATTACTAACAAGTTCATATCTGAAACATATTAATAACAGAAATGAGTTTTAATAATAGAATAAAAAGAAATTAAAAAAATTTGCATTATTATAATTTCAAAAATTTTTATCGAGGAAAAAATTTTTATTGAAGAAAATTTGAAATTGAAATTTTTAATTTTTAAATATTAATATTATAGAACATAACAGTATAATAACTATAGAATATTTACATTATCAAAAATTTATATATTAATCGGGAATCATTAACTAAAAAAAATTTCTATTTCAAATTTGCCATATATTTTATTTTGTTTAAGTTTTTTATTTATTTTTTTTAATCTTTTTTTAATTATATTTCTTCAAATATTTTATTCATCAATTTTTTGATTTGAAAAAAAAATTTTCTTGAAATATATGAACGTATTTATTGCAATACTATAATTTATATGTACGAAACATATGATTAATAATAGGAATGTCCTTCATAACTGCACTTTGATTATGTTTATTTGAAATTCTATTTATTTCCAAAAGAAATTTATTAATATTATAAATAAAACATACTATTTAATTATTTGAATTATTTTATCATAATATTTTATCTTTAATAAATATATTAATAAGATTAATTGATAGCTAAATAAGAATGAGATATATGTGTCAAATGAATGATACGTGTCAAAAGTCACATAATTTGATAATTTTTAATATAAGATTAAAATAATTAATTAGAAAACTTTGATTAGATACAACAAAAATATAACCTTCTTCAATATTGATGATCTATAATAATCAGTTTTAAAATTATTAATTATATGAAATATCTAGACATAAAATTTAATTTGCAATTCATGGATTCGTAATTCTTTGTATACTATTAAGTCAGTTCCATGAATAACTGTTAACGGATATTCGTGTAACATGAGTTTCGATTTATAGGCAACCGATGCTTACTCTCACCTTTCATAATATTTGTCACAATCGAATATATTATATGTTTAAAAAAAAGTCATATAAACTTTCTTTTTTTTATTTATCATTCTGAAAAAAAGAAAAGAATATTAAAAATAAATTTTATAATCAGATACTCTGTAGATAATTGTCTATAATGACTCATTGTAATCTATTACATCATAGAATACTCCAAATCAGGGAAAGCTGAAATACTTCATACCACGATATTACATTAAACATTCTATGTAATTCTTTTGATCCCTTTACAAATTTATAAATTAAAAAAAAATTTGTTATACAATATATTATAAATAGTCTATAGAATTTTAAATAAAATAAATTAATACAAAATAAAAATAAAATTACTGACAATTTTTATCAGAATTATTCATAAATAAAAAAATTCAAACAAGATACATCGATGCATGAAGAACAGTACGATGCAATTGATGTTCAAAAAAGAAAATGAAAAATCAGTTGATGACTGATCGAAATTTCAGATTCAAAGTGCAAAAAGAAAGAAGAAATACGATGAAAGGAGAAAATGAAAGAAAGAAGAACCAATTGACAAGGAAAGGAGAACTAGTCACGCGACGTAACATGGTTTCAGTTCGAACAGGAGGCAGGACCCACTAGTAATTATAGTTATCTTCGTGATGTTCTTGGAATGCTTTGCTTCAAATCCTCCTCGAGCTTACCAAGAAATAAGAGAGAGACAATATGAAACACCATAGAATGAGACAAAACAATAAGATGAAAAGTAGATCAACGAAGAAAGAAGATGAGAAATCAGAAAAAGAGGGGGATGCAGAGGGCATCGGGCCGAGGATGAAAGTAACATATATATAGAGAGGAAGAAAGAATTCAGATCGCAGAAGAATAGTCGCAGTTCTTAGTCCCAGACAATTGTGAATGAGATCTAAGCAAACGTACAGATTTACATTTAATATAATATTTAACTTAATAATTGTTTAATATTGAAAAAAAATGAAAAAATATATTCTATTGTTATTTTCTATTCATTTCACTTTTGCTTCAATCGGCAAATATCATAGGTAAATTATATTATATAATATATATACATATATGTATTATACATGTATATATAATACATATATATACATATATATATTATCACATAACTTTGACAGATTCATTGAAATAATCAATTCAATTTTCAGGGATAATGGATTTTTGAGTCATGTGCAATTAGTACATGAATTTCGATGTTCCATGCCTCAACCAAGAGCTGTACCAGTTGCAGAACTTCTTACTATTGGTCCTAATTCTGACGAAGTCTTTTATCCTGCTTCTACTGTTCTAAAACGTTGTGATGGAGCCGGATGTTGTTCGGATTATAAACAAATTTGTGCACCTGTTGAAACTAGAAATGTTAGTCTTGTTTTTATGGTGAAACACATGATTGATCGACAACGTGACAGGCATCACGAAGTGATACATGCTTTAGAACATACAAAATGTGAATGTATCAACAAAAAAATTATAAAATTTGATTAATTCTTTCTGAAATTTTTCTTAAAGTAATGGTGAAAAATTTTTGTTATTATTAATATTATAAATAGTTATTTACTTTTTTGCTAAAGAAGTTTAAATATACCAAAATAATGTTTATTACATTAAATAGAATTAAATAATACGATTAATTAATATTAATATAGAATTATGAGTTCCTCAATTAAATTTCTTTATAAGATTTTTGACTGTGATATTTTTAATAATAATAAACATTCTATGTTTTTTTATAACATATTAATAAATATTTTTTGATAACATAATTTCTTATTTTTAAACATTTTATTTCTACAATATTTTGTTTTATGTTTTGTTCAAAAACTTACAAAAAATATTTCATCAACTTTTTTAGTTAGTCAAATAATCTAATTTTACTTACTTCTTATAATTAATCTTTTATATCGAAATATTGTTTTGCGATCAATATGTCACGTTTTATACTTTCATTATCCGGTGTTAATTTCAAAGCAACTTCTAGTTCAGGAATACCATGCTGAGGAGCCGATAATTTACAAAATGCTGCGCCTCGTCGAGCGTGACATCTAGCCCTTGATTCTTGATTGCTTTCACATTTTGGTTCCATTAATTCTAATGCCTGAAAAATAAAATGAAGATTAAAATATTCTTATTTATACATATATAATTCTTATTTATACATATAAGTTGAATAAATTACAATTTTCATAACTTACTTTAGAACAATCTTCTATACATCTACGATAATTGCCTAATGCATATTGTGCTGCTGATCTATTTACATAGAGAGATGCCATTTTATCACTAATCTTAATTCCATACGTATAAGCACTTATAGCAGCTAAATAGTTTCTAACTTTGAAAAATTCACTAAAAAAATCAAATAATTTATTAGTTATATAATTCATAATAATTTATATGAAATTTTATCAAAGCATTAAACATACTCTCCTTTATCCTTTAACCATTGGGGATCTCGTTCTTCTGGTCGAAGATCTTTCGTATCAAAACCAATTTTACGCCTCGCTTCTGCCTGTTTCTGCAACCACTGTAATAAAATCAATATTAATAGAAATTTTTTATTTTAATAATCAATAATAAATAAAAATAATACTTCTTGTTCTTCGACATGAGAACTTTCCCTAGCTGGTGTTGGAAACTTTCGTTCCGAAAATGTGATATTGATTATACCCATTTTTCTTGGTAACGGTACCGATTTTGAAGGTTCTTCAAATATATTATTTCTTTTTAAAATGTTACCTCTTATCGCAGCTTTTACAGTTTCCAATCCTGGTCTTTTTTGTTTTTTATTATAAAATTTTTTTATATCATTTTTGTTCATTTCTTGTACTGAACAATGCGATGAAGTTTCATAATCTGATTCAGATTCTTCAGAGCAACTAGTGTCATTTTTATTATCTTCTTCCTTTATTATCATTTCTGTTTCAATATTACTTTCTTGATTCTTATTTATTGATTGAATATCTGAAATCTGTTCATCATTCTTTAAATTAGTTTCAAATTCTTTTATAATTGTTGTATTATTAAATATTTCTTTCTCGGTAATTGATTGAGATTTTAATGTATTATCTTTATTTTTAAACCATTTTAACGGTGGTCTTGAAAAAATAAAATTAGAAATTAGAAAATTACTTATCAAAGTTAAAATATATATAAAAATTGTGATATTTATTAATTTTAGTACTTATAAGCTTTTCTATTTTCTTGTGCTTTCCCGTCAATATTAGAAAGAAATGGTAATTCAGCTTTCGATCTCCAATCTTCAAATTCCTGCATTGCTTCTTTCCGATGTGTATCTCGTATTGTTTCTATTTTATTCAATGTGTCTGTATTAATATTAATTTGTTCTTTTACCGCTTCTTTTTGTAAATATTGACGCTTTTCTGAATTAAATTATAAACTATTAGAAAAAATCATTGTATTTATATTTATATATCAAATTTTATATACCATTTTTAAATTTTGTTCTTTCTTCAGCGTGCTTTTGAGCATGTTCTAAAGCTTGAATACGGTACTGTCGTTTAAAATCATTGTTAATATCTTGAATTTCCAAAGTAGGCCATTGCAAGTTAATATTTGTTTTACGCAAGGTAAGTATTGCTTCATTTTCTGTTAAAGTGCATTTACTTTCTTTTTCAACAATATTAGCAAAAAGAAATAATTCTAATATAAATGGTGGAAAACTGATCTGTTATTAAATCAAACATTGTATGATATTTATTTCTTTATATTTAATTGATATAATATACTTTTGTTAGAAATTGGAATTTATACCTTTATATAATTATCTATCACAAATAAGTCAACTTTCTTTGGATATCCTTTTAAAGGTACATTTAATATAACAAATTCTGAAGTTTGACGCCAAGAATAATCTTTAATAATTATAACTGGCATTTTCTTGATCAACGTTTTTTTCAATTAAACGTACTATCGAAATACTAACGACTATCGATCAAACATTTTGCGATATATTATTTTATGTGAATGTGTATATGTGATAGAAAATACAACAAAAGATAAAATTCTATTGTTATATTTATGATTCATTTCATACATAAAAATTTTGAATATCTATAATCAATAAAATTTATCTAAATATATATACATATAATATATGTATATTACAAACGTCAAATATATTTTCAATATCTTATTTATCAGGTAAAAAAAACAAACTACAAATATATAGTATGAATTATTTTTAATTAAAACGTTTAAGAGTATTTGTTGACAATACTTTTTATAGATATTATTAAAAAGCTGCCATTTATGCAACTGATTCTGCATTCTGTGTCTTTATCTATGGAACTATAATTTTTCTCTTGTGAGCAATACTTTAAAATCATTGAAAATGTATGAAAACATTTAAATATTATGCAACTCCATAAAGAAGTACAAGTTTTGGTTCTAAAATTATTTTTGAACAAATGGCATATCATATCATACTCAAGCCATTGCTTGAAAATCAACTATAAAAACTTATTGTAAATCAGTCGGTTTTTATCAAACATTTGCTCCTACGAAATCACAATAATTATTTAGAAACGAATTGCAGGACGTTCAAATTCTTAAAAATTTTAAATTCATTGAACACGCATATATTTCAAAAACATATTAATGATTACCCTGAGAAGCAAGAATGTTATATTATGTTGACACTTTTGATCAGTTCCCACAGTTCGTTGTACATAATAACAAAAATAACAATAACTACTTTCAAAATATTGTGATACATAATATTATTAAAAAATGGAGGACTTTTGATAAACGCTTAAAATAGGAAATTAAAAATTATCTTCTATAAAGATATTATGACACTATAGTTATGCCTCTTACACGCCTTACATCATAATCATTTTTTATAGATTACAGTAATAGTAATCATTCATTGTATATATTCATATAATATGTACAGTATATGTATCAATGATAAATACTTTGTTCAATTATTCTATATAAAAGAAATTGTTCTTTAAAAAAAAAAATATATATTGTTCATTAAGAACAGTATAAAGATAGAACAAAGTACTTAACACTGTATAAAACTTAATATTATTATAAATAAGAATACGTACAATGCAGTACGTTTGTCTATGTTGTACCCAAGCAAGTCCCGTAATCATGTGAACAAATATTTAGAATGAATTTTTGTTAGGACATTGGTTTAATATTAACATGTATTACTTAATACGCAAGATATTCATACAACATTCATACAACATACATAGAGATATCGCCCAAAGTATAAGAACTTGTGATATTCTTTTATTTATATATATATATATAAAGATAAAATTAAAAATTATCGCATGGAATGTCTGAAGTATACAAAAAGAATTCATCACATAAATTAAAAATTATCAATACAACAAAATGGACTTTGTGCGGATTTCTAATGCTTAATTCACATATTAATATAGTAATTTTACAAACACTGTTAAACAATTAAAAGAGAAAAATTTTAATACATAATTATAATCATATCATATCATATAATCGTATCATAATCATATAATAAAAATTCATTAATACTTTATTTGATTTTGATTTAAAAAGCGATAATTTGCTAATTACATGAAATATAAACTGACAAATTTAGATAGAAAAAATATAAACAAATAAAATTATTTTCAATTAATCTACAAACTGATTTGATACAGTATTAAATACTGTATTGATAATTAGAAATTCGTTGATATTTCATGATGTACATAGCAAAGAACAATCACTTTTCTTGACAATTGTTATGCACTAGGATTGTATTTTACTAATATTTATATTATTCATTATGAAAAATTGTTACATAGTTAATAGTAAAAATAAATACAGAAATGATACATTCTAATAACATAAAACTTATATCTCTATAAAAGTATACTTACAATTGTAAAAAAATGTTAGCGATAATTGAAGTTTTATTACAATTTATCTAAATGGCTTGAATTTTATACATACGTATCACATGCATACATTTGAAATAGTAGGTATGCTTTTACATTCATACATGTTCTCTTCTTCGAATTGTATTTATTGTTATTTTATAAATAATAACTAACAAATACTATAAGAACAACATGAATGTAAAGCAATATGTATATTATAAATAAATGCAAAAATTTGAAGTTCAAAAACTTATAAATATAAATAATCAAATTTAAAAATTTCGGATAGAACAAATCCGAATTGGAAACATTTAGTAAATTGTGACTGGGTGTTTACATTTACTAGATAATTAAATAAAGGAAGAAGTGAAAATTATGAACATCACTGGAATATCATATACAAAATTTGAATATGTTATCAATTTTTTGTGCAAAGTTATTGCATTTTATAAAGGACATAAGTACATTAATATACGCACGAACTATTTTTTTCGTGCTGCTTTTTCTGCTTTTCGTCGCATCCGTTCTATTTCTTTTCTCTCTTTGCGTTCCCGGTCTGCCTGTGCTCTAAGTTCTTTCAATTTACGTTTCAAATGTGATTTTTCTTCTCCACAAATACCAAAAGCTTTGAGATCACGAGATTCAAGTCTTAAAAGATTTCCACCATTAATTCCAGTTTCCAGAAAGCGTGATGCATAACGTTCCAAACCAATTCCTGATAACCACTGACAAACCTAATAAAATTTTTCAAGTAATAAATATAAACAAAATAATATCTATGGAATTTTGATAAAAATATTTTTTTTAGTAATTTTAAATATATATATATATATATAAATATAACTTACTTGTTCTTTGGACCAATCAGTAACTGGTGCATTCTGCCAAAAGTGAGACTTTTTGTCACCTAAACCAAATTCACTTGGATGAGGAGGCAACCAAACTTCACTCGTATCTAAATTAATAATATTTATGTGCATATGGGAAAGATGAAAATATAATGAAAAATATAATGAAAAATATATATATATATATATATATATATAAAAAGAAAGAAAAAAAATAGATTGTGAATTATTATTTGCATTGTATCATAAATATTTAAAGTACCTGTTTTAGATGGACTAGGATCAACAGCAGGTGGACTCACTGATCCACCAGAAGAAAGACTAGATGGTGAACTACCTGGATGATGCCAAGGTGTATTACCAATTAAATTTGATGAAGGAATAGTGGCTTTTTTTACTGTATAAATAAAAAATTCACTATAAAAAATTATTTTGAATAAATTACATATTAGATATATTATAAAATTTTACCTCTTTGATTGGCTTCATTTACAGCTTGTCGTATTTCTTCTACTAAATGATGGGTAACTAAAGTTGGATCACTAGAATGTGGATTATTTAAATCACTAAAGTCTCCAGAACTTTCTCTCGATGAAGATATGTCATTTCCACCAAGCCGTCTTTCTCTTTCTGCTAAAACTTGTTTTAACTGTTCTGCAAATGATGCTGGTGGTCCAGTTAAATCTATGAAGAATAGATAATAATTTTATATTTAAAGTTACATATAAATTATATCCAAAAAAAGAAAAAAAAAAGAAATACTTTTTTGAGATTGTGGCCAACTTTGTTCTGTCATAGCTCTAACTTGTGAACTAATAGTACTATGTTGTCGAATTGTTGTCGGATGCGTAGGTTCCATATGTTTACTTTTCAATGAACTAATTGAAGAACTACTAGAATAGGAACTCAAATTTGATTGTTTTGATGTTAAATCGTTTGGTGATCTGCTACTTGTGTCCTGTGAAAGTAATTTAGAAGATGAATCCTCATCAGTATTATCACCTGATTCATCCAAACCATAATCCTGAAATATTAAATCATTAAATAAATATATAATTTTTCTACATATACTAATGATTGTATTACATACAGAACTACTATTACTAAGACCGCCAGATCGTTTAGGAAGTTGTCGATTTGCGAGTCCTCCTCTACTGGCAAGTTCAGCTTTACTTTTTCCAGCCGAATTGTCAAGTAGTCGATGTGCAGGTACTGCTCGATCTAATTCTTCCTTGACTGGCAATGGAAGCGGTAATTTTCTTTCAACTGTTGCTGTTTTATCACCATCATCTGGACTACTAAGATCTGTTTCTGTATCTGAAAGTTGACAACTAGTTGATGAAGGAGGGGGAGGTAATTGTCGGCGCGACAACTGTGGTGTAACAATTCTAGCCGTAGTTCCATCATAAGGCAATCTTACTGGTAATCCAAATCTCCGTTGTGTTTCTGTTAGTTCTACTTCCAATGTAATTACCTATAATTATTTATAATTTTTTTATTATATATAAATTATTCTAATTTTCTTATTTTCTTAATGATAACATACCCTATCTTTTAAACTTTTAACAAGAGCATTATATTCTGTATCTTTCTCCTGTAATAATTGTTGATAAAATTCATCTCTAGCAGCGATATCTGTGCGTAATTCACGAGCTGCTCTTCTGGCTCGAGCATATTTTTGTTGTAAAGCAGCATTTTGTGCTGTTGCTTGAGAGAGCATTTCTCGTGCCGTTACTAAATCTTGTCTAGCAGTGCCTAAAGCTCTTTCAGATTCGTGAAGTCGTAAACCAGATTCGCGCAATTTTGCTGCATATTCTTCGCTTCCAGCTCCACTGTTTTCTAAGTCTACAAGCTATAAACAAAAAATTTTATTATAAATAATATACATAAATATATTAATATAAGTATTACGTAAATAAAACATATTAGTTTAATGTTTTTCAATAAATCATTTTATATTTTTTAATATTATTTATAGATGTTATTTATAATATTTATAATATTATTTATATATTAGAAATATAAAAACTATATAAAATGATAACAAATTTAACATACATACATTAAGCTGCACATAAATTCATAACTGTAAGTATATGATATACAAGCATATTGCATCAACAAATAAATATATGTAATAAATAACAAAATTTTATATCTTATGCTATTACCTTAGCTTTGAGTTTTTCCACCTCTCCATCTGCTAATGCTAGTTTATACTGACTCTGCAAGCAGTGAACAACGAACACAGTGCATAAGCAACACCAAAATATATTCACACTTATAAACTTATGATGGAGTGCTTATAATATAGCGTTTATATAAAAATAGCAATATAAACATATATACATACATACATATACATACATATATATATATATACAAAATATTATAATGCATATGTTCATATAACAATGTATTTTATGCAATATTTTATATAAAATTAATAAAAATGAATATACAATTAAATATTTTATGCAATAACAAAATATTGCAAAATATAAAATTATAATATTTCTAATTTAAAATATCTTTCTCAAATAATGAGACTATAATATAATATAATATACATTTTTCATTAATTACATTTATAAAAAAAATAAAAATAAGAAATACTTCTATATAAAAGCTACTATAACCAAATTATACATAAAATTATGCAAATTACATATGTGCTTCATACTATACATCCATCTTGTTGACAATGTTGACAAAAAACATTTTACCTCTTGTAAAAGCAATCTTAAACTGTCGACATCACTTTGCGTTGTCGCAGATGTATGTGGTGGCATTGATGAACTGAGGATAGGAGATCTACTGCGACCAGAAGGTAAATAATTTTCTATAGGACTTTGAGGAGGTTCCCCTTCCGAACACGATGACATAGCTGGAGAACCTGGTATTCCTCCCATACCTCCAACAGAAATATCTTCACTGCCTCGTTGACTATCAGGTGAAGCATCCGAGAAATTAAGTTTTCTGGAAAAATATATTTATTTTAAAACTTCTTAAATAATTTGATCAAATTTTTTATTTATTAAAAATTAATTTCCCTCAGCCCTTCAAGAGGCTACGAGCCATCATTGAAGTGGCCAAAAATTTTCGTCATAGACATTAGCGAGCAAGGATAAATCATCATAAAGAAATCATTTTTAAATAATATATGAATTTGTTGATTTTAAATCATACCTAGCAGAGTTAGCTTGTTCTCTTTCTTTATCTGCTTGAAGACTTTGTCGAATTAGCATAGCCACTTCTGAATTTGGATCACGTTCTCTACCAATTACAAAACGTACGAGTCCTGAAGTATTACGAAGAACACTAGCTGCATATGCTTGTGTGACTCCAACTAGAGATTTACCATCCACTTCAACGATTTGATCGTTTACTTGTATTCTGCCTTCTCGTGCAGCTGCTCCTTTTTCTGTGATTGTTTTAACAAATATACCTAATTTTTCTAGCCCTGCATCTGCACCAACACCCATTCCAATAATACTTAAACCAAGACCTTCTGGACCTTTCATAAGCTCTACTGGAAATACCTAATAAATTTTTTATTATATATAATATATATTATTATATCATGAAATATTAAATATTAAGAGTATGCGTATGCGTGTGCGCGTGCAATAAATATACACTTATAGATTTATATTTATACATTTAATAATTTGATTTAAAAATTGATTTTACCTCCATTTTTTCAACTCGTTTCTCAAGTTCATATTCTGCACTAGCAGCAACAGGATCTACATCTTCATTTCGTCGATCGTATTCATTTACTGAATGTGTTGAATAAACTCTCATTGGTTTCGTATCAAATGAAACTTTAGACATTTTTTTAATGGGTATATTTGTTGGATAATCATCTTTCTCATCGTCTGATTCTGGTATTCCTGCAACTTCCATCCAAAAATGACCATCTTCAAAATAATGTACACCATTTTCAACCAATATCTAAAAAAATGTAAATTTAATTATATTTTGTTCTTAAATTATATTTAAGAATTAAATTATTTAATAAATATAAATTTTATTTATGATCTTACAACTTTGCCTGGTGTTGGAGGAACGTATTCGTCTTGATGTTCTGTTTCTGTATCATCGTTAATTTCGTAAGTATCATTCAAACTATTAACAGATCCAAGTAAACCACTTTCACTACCTGTTACAGAACCCACTTGACTCTCTGTTAACGAGTCTATCGTTAAATCGCTACGTGATCTATGAGACAAACTAAAAAATCATATAAATTTAGTATTTTCCAATGAAAATCCATTAAAATTTTATGTTAAGTTATATCACTATATATACAATTAATAAAAGTTAATAAAAATCAATACATAATATTAACTGCAAAATAGTTTTATAAAACATAAAAAACATAAAAGACTAAACTGATTCACCTATAATCATTAGTGGTGCTATTAATAAGACTGGTATCAGGAGCAGACAAGACATCAGAAAGCCAATCTGGTGTGTTATCTTGATCATCCTTTTCCCTCTCTTTATCAATTTCTTTATTTTTATCAATAGATTCTTCACTTACAACTTCAGCATGTGTAGTAGGTGATAATAATCTTGCTATTTCTTGAGCTTCTTCGTCTGATAATAAAGCTGATCCTTGTCTAATTGATTATTCATGTGATTCACGATGCTTTTATAATTTAACATCATAATCAATGAAGTAAATATTAACGAAACAATAACAATTAACTTACCTTATTTTTTTCTCTAGGATGCTGTTTTGTCCCAATTTATTATGAGTTTGTTTGAAGTCACATTCAAATAAACATGAATAGAAGAAAACATTAGAATTTAAAATAAAAAAATAAAAGTTATTAAGCTGTTTGCAAATTACTATAAAATGATTTGTTATAATTAGAATTATCATAATATAAAATATAGAGATGTATTTGAAAAAATCTATGTGAAAATTCTAGTACATTTTATATATATATATATATATTATAATTTTAACTATAATATATATATATATTATAATTTTAACTATAATATTACTATTTCATTCTTATAATATAATTTTTTCATTGTTTTTGTTAAGAATTCATTTTTATATTCAGTTTTAAACTATTTGCTTAAATAGCTTACCGTGAACTTAACAAATTTTCTGCTTCATCAGCTGTCATAGTGTCTGGTGTTACAGGAATTGTTTGATTTGTAGTAGCTTTAGAAAAATTTTCTATAACAGTTTTAGAATTAATATGTTCCATGGTATTTTTTGCATCTATTGCTGATATATGCTCCAGATTTGTAATAGTTTTAGTATCACTAGAATCACTATCATCATGAATACTACTTTCAGATATAATATGTTCGTTTAATTGTTTCTTTTCTGTATGATGCAAAGTTACAATAGCAGGTGATACATTTTGAGACATATTAACTTGTTGAATTGTATTTGTAAAAGTATTTTCCTGTAATCTCAATTTTGCCAGTTCAGCTTTTTGTTTTTCTTGCTCCCATGTTGTTTGTGGTTGATTTAATTCTTCTGTACTTTTATTTAGAATATTACTTATTGTTTGAGAATTGGATTTAGGTGATGATACTGCATCACCTGCTAATGTTATAAATTCCTTCTTATTATTTGTTTTTGATATAAATTTAGATATATTTTCTGAGTGTAATGAAACATCATTTAATTCAGTTTCTTTGTCATTCAATTTTTCAGATGAATTCTCAGTATTATGAACATTTGAAACTATTGAACATTGACTTGTATTTAAACTAACTTTTTCTGTTTGATCTACTTTATTATCTATTTCAGCAAAACTTGAACGTTTTCCGGAGACTTCTTCTTTATTTTTTGCTAGCTTTTCACGTACAGAGATTTTAATTTGATCATTTTTGGCATTGGATACAGTTTTTTGACATACAGTTTCAGAAAATGTATGTTTTTCATTGTTAATATTTGATTTTGACTTATTATCTAAAATTATATTTTGATTTTCTTCTGTATTCATTGAATTTATTCGTACATGATCTTGGTTACTTTCTTGAGATATTTTATTATGGCAACTTTTTGCTGAATCAATTTTTATTAATGTATTTTCTTCTATATTTATTTTTACTTGTGATTTAATTTCATTGTTTTGAGAAGAAATTTCTTGATTTTGTTGTATTTTCTTTACATATGGCGAAGGTATTGGTATATCCTTATGTTCTAAAGGTGGGTATTCTTGATCTGAGCTGACAACAGATGGTGGTCGTGGTCCCAGACCAGCAGCTTGAAGATCAACACGTACATGAGATCGTCGAATAACTGTAGTAGTATCTGATTCATTGAATTTTGAATTTTTTTCTAAACTATCCTTTTCAGCAATAGATTCCATATATGCTGCAGGTTTTTCTTGTTCTTCATGTTGTAAATCATAACTGTTACGACCTTAAAATATCGGAGTATTATATTATTATTTATAATAGAAAATCCATATGCTAAAATATGTATATTAATTTTTAAGAGAAGGTATAAAATACCTCGGCAATCAATGCAAAGAAGACGGAGACACATGGTATTTATATTTATATATATATATATATAAATATAAAATAATAAACAACTTATAAAATTAAAATGAAAAATTATATGCATAATAAAACATTTGGTTCAAGTTTATTCAGTTTTTTAAATTAAAATTATAATTTTGAATGTTTTAAAACTTTTCATAATATATAAAATCTTAGATAAAAATGTATTGAATAATAAATAAAATAAGATACATATTTTATAAAAAATTAGAAAATTATTTTTAAAAAATTAATTTTATAACAAAATTAATTATTATTTTAAAATAAATTTCTAAAAACACAATACAAAAGATTTAATACATTATAAGATAATTAATCCATTTATATATATATATATATATATATATATATTATATAAGTTCAATTTCATAAAATAATTATTGTAAAATTAATATTAAAATTAATATTAATTTTGAATAATTTTTTTTTATAAACACTGGTAAACAAAATATTAATATATGTAAAATACTTTTCTGAAATAAATGATGTGAAGTAGAACCAGACAGAAGCAGAACAGAATATACAGATTTCTATAAATAATACCGATGAACCAGTAGGAGGAATTAACATCAAGAAGAGGAGGAAAGGGGAAAGGAGGAAAGTTTCCTCTTATACTGTTACTTTTTAGAATTTTGGCACATAGCCATAATAAAATTGCAAAATTTAAATATATTGAAATAATTATTTTGTAATAATTAATAAAATATATAAAAATCAATTATTAAAAGATAAATTTAAATTAAATTTGTTTGTATATACATATATATATATATATACACACACACACAAAATATATTTACTATTATACATTTCTATATAGATGTGAATTGTATTATTGGAAATTAGTCATATATATATCATCATATATATACTATACCAGTTTGAAACTTTTCTGACATTTCCTTATCTGCCTTCTCTTCTTTACTATCCTTAGAAGGAGAGCTAGGGGAGCTCATACTAGAAGATGCACTATCCGTACCTCCAGAAGGTGGTCTCAATTCCGGATCCGGAGATTTTGACGGTTCCACTTTTTTTTCTTCTAATAAACTATCTTTTTTTCTCATTGTATTTATACATGGTCTCGCCCAATCTGGTCGTGGATCAGATCTTATCACTTCGCTTTTAATTTCCATTTCTTCTCTGGCACATTTTAAATCTGTAGCTTTCTTTAAAATTTCATCATTTTTGGCTAACCATTCATTTCTCCACTCAGATGTTTTAGGTGGTGAACGTATAACGTTTGAAGGATAGTTTAGATATTCAGGAGCATCAAGTAAATCGCTATCTTTTTTTGTTTTACTTTCTACAGTCATACTAATAATATTCTCTATAGACATACTTCGTATTGGACTAGATATGTCAGAATTTTTTTCACAGGAGGAAATATGTGATTTTGTTTGTGAATAAATATCAATACTTGAACTTGCAAAAGTACTTTTAAGACATAAACTACTTTCAGCATTGTTAATATTTTTTGAATGATGTGTTGAACTATTTTTTGATGTATCAGCATTTCGGCAATGTATTTTTGCTGTAGTATTTTTCTGCACTACTGCATATTCTGGCATGGACACATCTTGCGTCTTTTCTAACATAGGACTGGAAACATTTTTTGAAATTTCTCGTTGTTCTTGATTTTTTTGGAAATTTTTATTTTGTATATTTGTACTTTTTTGTACAACTGCATATTCAGGTATTGTTGATGAAGTATCAAAATATTTATTTATGGTAGCATATTCTGGACTGCTAGGAATATCTGGAGGAGATACTGCTGCTATACTAGCTGGTCTTTCCTTTTTTGTATTTGAAGTAGAAGAATTTCTTGTTGGTGGTGGTGGTGGAGGTGGAGATATAACTGATGATCTAACAGAACAAAAGCTTGCAGATCTTGTGGCTGGATTAGCAGAAATATCTGCTGATCTTTTTGTTTCATTATCAGTATTTGTAGTATTTTGTAAATGTCCTACAGAAGCGGTTTCAACATTTACTTTATTTGCACTCTGATTTAATGAACTTTGAACTAAAGATCTATTTGGGTCTGAATTGTATCTACTTGGTCTTGTTTTTGAAAAATGACTAGTCCAATTTTTTTGCTTTTCAATTAATTCTTTTGAGTTCAATCTTCTTTCTGGTTTTTCTGGTTTCTCCGGTCGATCATCCAAACGATTTTCTTTGCCATAATTTTTGTCAAATTTCCCTAATCCTGTTCGTGATTTATGTTTATCTGATATATTATCTAAACCATGATTGTGACCATTTTCAAAATGTCTTTCAGCATTTAAGGTTGGTACACTTGCACTCCAATTGCTCAAGTGATCTCTGGTTCCTGGAGGTGATGGTGATCTAGGACGTGGTGATCTAGCTGGAGATGTACAACCTGATCCAGAATTTGCAGAGCTAGAACGTGATCTTAAGCCATGCAAATTACTAGGCTTTGTAATCCTATCCACCCTATACAAAATCATACAAAAGTATGTTTTTAAAAATAATTAAATATGTAATATGAAATAATAAATATGTAAATATGAAATAATTAATTATTTCTTATATATTTTTTTCATATTTATTTATTTATTTTTATATACTTACGGTTTATTTGGTTTATTTTCTTCTCCAAGTTTTTCAAAAAGTGCACGTGCATTATTAAATCGAGCTACATGACTTTCAGTTCTCACAACTGTAACTTGTGTTGGAGATTCTTTTAAAGGCACAGCTGGTTCCTTGAAACCATCTGATAGAATATTATTTGTCCTATGACTTAGATTATCCAATTGTGGTTTTGACTGGAAGATATTTGCAATGGCTGAAACTTTTGAGCCACCAACTCGTTTCTTTTCTTCTACTGTTGCCATGACTTATTTCCTTTAATAAGAAAGTAAAATAATATAACATTTAAAAATTGTTTCAGTTTATAAATTAAATATAACAATTTTTTTTATAAAAATAATCTTATTATTATTATTATTATTATTAAATCATTATTATCTGTACCTCTCTTTTATAAAAATGATGAGAGTTTTACAATTTAATGTATTTCAGCCCATTGTCATTCATATATTTTTTATATTTATCATGTTTTTATATATTATTTTTTTCATCTGAAAAAAATTATATTAATATACATAATATAAAAATAATTGATTATGCATGAAATAACTCAAAATATATTATTACTATATGTATTATTTAGTTATTGTTGACACTAAAAATATTTATGTATAAAATTATTTTATATTTAAATATAAATTTAATATTTATAGTCATAAAATTAGATCATTAATTTTTAAACACACAGAATTTATTTTTGAAATACAGAGCATATTCAATAATAATATTAGTAGAACATTTTATTGTGCTACATATTAGATATATTTACTGTGATTGTCTGAAATGATTTAAGACTTAAATAGAAAGCATAGCATAAAGAGGTGGGGTCTTGTCTGGGCTTCACCCTCCTCCTATTGCCATAGCACACCATGCTCTTGCAATCAATACTTGAATCCTTTCTCTGTAGTTGAAGTATGAAAAGTGGAATGTTTTATTATTATATTATATACTATGCGTATTATGTGCTCATCTTTGTAATAATAGGTTAAAGTTAAATGTAGCTTAAAATAAATAATATGGTTAATGTAGCAAACTTTCTTTCATTTATATAATCTTTTTAAAATATTATAAAAGTATCATTTAAAAAATTATTTTTAATATTTATTATCTCAGAATTTATTTAATAAAATATGAATAAATAAGATAATAAAAATGAATTAATTAATAATAAATTAATTATTAAATAAGGAATAATATATTTATGTTTGAATATTGTTATAATGTTATTAATTATTAGATAAAAAATTATTTAATAATTAAAAATAAAGAATAAAAATAAAATCAATTATTATATGATAAATATTATTTATTTTTTATATAGTATATATAGTATATATTTATATATATATAGTATTTTTATTATTTTAATAATTTTCAATTTATTAAAAAAATAATATAACATATTTTTATGATTAAAAATATTTTTAAAAATTATATTTTAATAATATTAATAATATTTAATATGATTATAATATGATTCATATTTAAAATATAATAAATATAATAAAAAATTATTTTATCATATAATAAATAATAATTATATTAAGAGATATAAATTTTATTTATTTTAATATATTCTGAAAATAAAAATAAATTTGCAAATTTTATATTAAATGTATATATTTTTTTATTATATGAATATATTAAATATTTTAATATGCTCATATTATGTTTGCTTAAGTTTTTAATCTTGCTTAATCATCTCTCATTTTTAAATAATTAATCATCTTCCAGATTTAAATAAAAAAATGAAATATTTGCACTATATTTCAAATTTTTCAATAATAATTATCATGATAACACATTAATCTTAGATTTAAAGATAAACATTAATAGATAAATGAAATTTCAAATATTATTTAAAAAATAAATTTATATATTTAAATATAAAGTGTTTCATTATATGCAATAAAAACTTTATATGCTATGTAAACATTAAAAATCATTGGCGGATGTTATAAAATGTCAATAATTCGCAATGAGTAATCTAATAATATTTACAAAAATTAAAGTAAACGTACGTTGTATTTCGCCATTATAAGCTATCAGACTAATGAATTTGAGTCTTATAAAAAATTTATAAGTGTTTATTATTTAAAAATTCTTTATATAACATAACTTTATAATTAATTTTTAATTTAATTATAAAATAAGCATATATATAATCAAAATTACTTTTAAATAAAATGTGACAAATTGTTTATAGAAAGCATAAACTAACCAGAGGTGTCACCATGTGCACGAAACCATTTTTCCTCATAAGATGTATTTTTAGTGTTTCGTATCTTCTTTTTTCTAGCAGCACAATTTTTTTATCACATACACGAATATAATTTTGAAAATAATTCTTTATAAAATTCTAGTTAAATATGATAAGATTTAACTGTCGACTTTGTCAAGATTGCTTATATTCGTGACAGACGCTTATTTCCACAATTTTTTTTATATTTTTATGTATAATAATACTTATTACACAATAATCTTAAATGCATGTAGTATTGCTACAGTATTGCTTTTAATTCTAATTTCTAAATAATCACTACTTATTTCCGGCAGTTAATTATGATTAATTTTACATCACGAAGCACTTTCACAACCGGCTGTGATCTACCCGTGTCAACAACCCGTGAAAAATGATTCCAAGATGGTCGTTATCTTTTTTTAAAGATGGTGACCATAAATACTAGGGATTTTAATTTTAAGAGATTTTATATAAAGAAAAATATTTTATCTCTTCTATGTTCTTTATATTTATAATTTAATATTTAAATGTATTGTACCAATGCTAAACAATAATATATAAATACAAATTTCGATAGTAATGAATTTCAATAATAAATTAAAAATACTATATATCTAAAAAAAATACATATATATGTATATGTAAGAACTTGATATTATCGTTGTACAAAATCTTATTAATTTGTATATGTAAGAAAAAATATTTTTATATTAGATATGTAAGTTAGTAAATAAATACAATTTTGAAAATAAAAAATAATAAAAATAATATTTCTCAAAGTTAATTAAAACTCTATTTTAGTTTTCGACCAATTCTTTCTATTGATCATAACGTACACGTCATATAATGGTCGCCATGGTTTATTCATCCGTGAGGAGATAATTGGATATTGTGTTTTTAAGGAAAAAAAGCACAATCCCTTGTGGAAAGTCTGCTGTGTACATCGTGCAGAGAAATAACAGAAATAAATGTTAAATACATATAGTAATCTTTGAGCATTCTTGCGTGAGGTGCGAAGTGTGTTAAGTGAAGAACGAGTGTGCACGTAAGTGTGTACGAGCTGCGTAAAGGGTTTATAACATCAAAGACTTATGTTTGCAAAATATGAACTTCTTTAATAAAATCAATGGCGAAAATGATGGTTTTGAGTATGTTTTGTGGTGCTGATGTTGCTATTAATAAAATTTACAACGAACTTTTCTAGGCATAGCCTTCGCGTTTTAAAAGACTGCATAGAGACGTCAAACGAGCATGATGTGTTATTATTCGAAATACAAAAAACTCGAAGACTCCTCGCCTTTTTATATTAAATAGGCTAAAAAAATACATTTTAGCAAGACTATTTACTTATAATAAACTTTTATATACAAAGTTTGAAAGAAATACTTGTGTTCTAATAGAGCAACAAGAATTGTGTTACTATATTCTTAAATTAAAAAAAAAAAAATTTCTACAACTTTAAATATAAAACATATTTATTTTTAACTTATATATGGACATATATATGCTCGTGAATTGTTAAAAAGAGGAACTTTTTCTTTCATAAACGTTTCTAGCGAAACAAAAACTTTAGGAATATTAGGCATAATTTATATCTATTTGAAGCAAGAAATATTTGAAGTCTTGCAGTGATAGTAGATATATATTGAAAACTTTTATGAAACTTATAAATGTTTTAATTAAACTGCATAAGGACAATTTTAACATCAAAGTTTTTGATAAATGGACTTTTTAATCTTTTATCACAGTGACTTTAAATCGGATTTCATGTGCAATCTTCTGAACTTTTCTTCTCATATACTAAAAATGTTACTACATTATTTCCTACATAATTATCATAAAATCTACAAGATCCATTCAAATATGATATTGTTCTTGGACAAATATTATTGCATACTGGATATCCATCTAGTAAGAACTTTTTTATATTTGCGTTTCAGAAAAAGTTTAAAGGCACCAGAACTGCATTGGCTTCATACAAGAAAACCCGAAAAATCCAGAAGTACAAAGCCTGGATGACGGGACAAATGACAACATACATTTGAGCAATAGTGAAAGTGATCAAATAAAAAGTGAAAATATGGACAATAATACAGATGGGGACAACTTAAATCTGAGCTGCGGCGAAAATGATATAGTGGATGAATTAAAAATTGCTGCAGATGAAACTTATGATACACGTAGTGAAGTTTCATCTAGCAGTTCAAATTCTGATTCTAGTCAACCAAGTATAAGCTCTGTTTCCACAAAATCTTCACGTGGAGATAATAAACGCAATCGTAAGAACAGAGGAAAACGTACTAGATCCAGAGATTCTAAGTCTTCTAGTCCTGAAACAAAACGTGCAAGATCTAAAGAAAGCAAAGGAATTACTAAGAGCTATGATTATGCTACAAAATTAAATTACTTATTTAGGGATGCAAGGTTAGCTACTTTTTAAAATATAATATTTTTATTTCTTTTTTTTTGTGTATTTCTTTTTATTTTATATATACAAAATTAATGTGAATTAGCATTATCTTAAATTATTTATATAAATGTTTAGATAAGTACAATAATATAAATACCAGGAACATGTCTTAAAGTTTTTTTTATCAGATTTTTCATCATCAAATCAAACAATGCTGAAAATGTTACATTATCAAAAGCTAAAGGAGTATGGAGTACATTACCACAAAATGAAGCCAATTTAAATCAAGCTTATAGAGAATCAAGAAATGTTTTGCTTATATTTTCTGTAAAAGAATCAGGAAAGTTTGCTGGTTTTGCAAGATTAAGTACAGAATCTAGAAGAGATGGAGCACCAATTTCTTGGGTTTGTATATTTAATTAAATATATGTTTTTCATTAAGGATATTTATTTTATATATTATTAGGAAAGAAGTGTATATAAATTTTAGGTGTTACCACCTGGATTGTCTGCAAAAGCTTTGGGTGGTGTATTTAAAGTTGATTGGATATGTAGGAAAGAATTACCATTTACGGCTACATTACATTTATATAATCCATGGAATGATGGTAAACAAGTAAAAATTGGACGTGATGGCCAAGAAATTGAGCCAAGAGTTGCAGAAGAATTATGTAGATTATTTCCAGAAGATGAAGGTAAATTAAAATATATGTACAGTTTTTCTTATAAATAAAAGAAAATATATTTTTTATAACTTATGATAAATCTTTTAGGAATTGAAATGACACCAATTTTAAGAAAATCTAAGGAAGCAGCAAAACATATTACGAAGTCTCGTTCATATCGTGATAATAGGCCTGTTAATAGTAGTCCTAGATTTTTACGCTCGAGAGGTGGTAGAGGTCGTAGACTTTTCTTAACTTCACGATCTCGTTTAGCTTCATTAGCTAGAGGATCTCATTTAGCTGGTAATGAACATAGAGGATCAAGAGATCATCATCATCATCGATATGCTACTTGGTTTAATAGAAGTGATTCTCCTTATTCTAAGTACGTATGTGTTTTGATATACAATTATCCCAAATTAAATATATTATTTTTAATAATTATACAATTTATAGAGGATATGGTAGTCCAGGATTAGGTGTGGCTGCAGCAGCTGAAGCGTATGTTGCAGATTATATGCGTACTATGCAACATCAATTGCCTCCTTTACCTCCTTATGCTGCACCACATCCATATGATTCTTTACCTCCACCACCACCACCACCCAGATATTATGATGGTTTACCATTACCACCTGACTATAGCGCAGCGGCTTCTGCTCTCGAAAAACGTAGCTATGAAAGAAGTGTAGATGAATTTTTGTGGAGAACAGCAAGTCGGCATAGTCGTCATAGTGATCATCGATCCTCCCGTGATCACCATCATAGATATAGAGATCGTAGATAAAAAATTTTAAAATCTTCATTAATCTTAATATCCTCATTCACTTATTCTTTCACTTTTCATTCATGCACATATTGTACGGGCTTTCGAGGTATTGTGACATTTATAATTATGTATCGTTACATTTATAATTAATAGTGTTTATCGATTATTTGTATTAATAATTCAAACAAAAATAATTTGAAATTTTAATTATATACATACATATATATTTAGATATAACATATAATTTTTAATAGAATTGAAAAAATAGTATCGTTTTTTATGAAATAATATATTAAGAAGTGTCAAATGATTCGTATTAAAATTAATGAAATTGTAAAAATAATATAATTATTTTTCTGTTATTATATCTGTTTGTAATTGTAAAACGATATATGATAAAATTGAAATTATAAAATTGATTCACAATTCATTAAAATCTATTATGCATTTATTAATGAAAAATAACTTATAAAAAATACAATATTCTTTGATTAATATACTTCATTTATTTTCTAATTTTTTTTTTATTATTTCTAATTTCAATTTAAGTATTATTTGTATATTTTTATAATTTTTACATGTATTGATATTTGAGTATTTTATAAATAAAAAATTTTGAATTGTGAATCAATCTAATTATATAATATCTGTTTTTGCATTAATAGAATGAATTTTCATAATCAAATTTCATACAATTATAAACATTTGACACAAGATCACTGCCTAAATCGATAAAAATTTACTTTTATAATACTGCAAAATAATAGAAGTAAATAATTTACTTAATGTCATTCACAATCTTTTCACGTAAAAAAATTTATAAAAATAATCATTTACAAAAAAAAATATTTTCACAATTAATAATATAGATCACTTAAATTAATATAATTGTTAAAATATTATTATTAGTTACAGAAACAGCCTAACTGCGAATATAAGTCACTGATTTATATAATACATTTTTGGCGTTATTTCGTAGTAAAGATTTAAAAAAGTAAATTGATTTTGTTTCTCTTTTACCTTTTTTATAAATATGATATTCCATTTTTTTTTTTTCATCATTACAGGAAATTAGGAAATTATAAAACTAAGAGATAAATTTTATCTTTCATTCCGTTCATACAGACGGATGTTTAATCCCGATAGTTGACTTAGATATATTTCAATTTTAATCATGTCACTTAAAATTCAATTTGTAAAATGCATATTGTGTGTTATTTTATATATTATAATTTACGTTATTTTATTAAGATTAAAACAAAATTCTTATTTAACACAATATTCAAGTTCATTGTTTTTTGCAAATAATCAAACAAAGCAAGAATGTTCTTTAGTTTCTCAATCTATTGTAAAACCAATTAATTTGGAGATAGAACTTTTAGAGTATGATGAAATGAAAGGAGAATCAATTAATTTGCAAGTAAGTAATTCATTATATTACATTATTTAAATATAATTATTTTAATGTAAAATATATATATATATAATATAAATTATATGTAAACAATATCAATATTCTCTTAAATAGGAAAGTGCAACAATGTTGCAACAAATTTCAAATGTATGTATAAAATATAATTTAAAAACTCCTTTAATAAGAAAGCATTTTTTATATAATTCTGAACATAAAACAATGTATTGTTGGATTCGAAAAGTAGCTTCAACAAGTTTCACAAAATTATTTGCAGATTTAAAAAATCGTCTAGCCACACAAAATTATTATAGGTAATTACATCTTATTAATTTTTTGATATGATTATTATTACAATTTATAAATTATTCATAGACAAATTGACATTTTGGTACCACAAACATTAAAGGAATTACAATTTATATCAAATAACACAAAAATATTCAAACTTCTCGTGGTACGACATCCTTTTCAAAGACTTGTATCATCATATAGGTATATTATTTTTCAATGTTTCAATATATATTTAAATTATTGAATGAAATGACTTTTTTCAACTTTTAGAGATCGAATAGCAGATAATACAAAATATACTGCACAAGCTTGGATTTATACAGAAAAAATATTTCGTTTTACGAGACCTGAATTATTTCATTCGAATACGACAATTGGTAATTTTCGAGAAAGAGTATTTACATCTGATAAAAGGTATAATGATTATGTACAATAAAAATATTTTGTTTCGTTATTAATAGTTTTTTAATATATATTTCATTTCTGTGAAGATTAAAGATAATACCAACTTTTAAAGAATTTTTGGAATGGCTTTTACAAAGTTCTGAAGAAGATGTTCATTGGATTCAATATTATAAACATTGCGCTATATGTAATATACGATATAATTTCGTTTTAAAGTTAGATGATTATACATATGGACAAATAAATTATATTTTTTCTAAATTTGGTTTGGATAAAAATAAAGTATATTTTCCCAAGTTAGAGGAAACACGAGGTGGATATACAAACTTCGATACTACATGTAAATATTTTGCAAATTTAACACAAGATATAGTTTTGAAATTATATGAAAAATATAAAATTGATTTCGAAATGTATAATTATAATGTTAATCAATATATAAGTTGTGCATATAAAAAATATGAAAAATTTTAATCAAATAAAATAATATAATATTTTGTAGTAAGAAAAATGTATTTATTCGTTTTTGTATAAAAATGTATACCATAACTATAATATATAAAATGGCATACTATAAACATAATATCGTATTTTTATAAATATTTGTAAAAATAAAAATACGTTTTACTTAGATAAGATTAATATTATACATATGTTTTTTGTTCTTAGTCAAGTACACTATGAACTTATTATGAACAAAAATGTTTTTATATACGAATAGTATTAATAAAATTATATGAAAATTTTAAACATAAAATGAAACTGCTTCTAGAATTGGTACATATGTATTTTTTTTGTACAAATATATATTTTTTATATAAATTTTATTGATCAGTATATTAATTTTAAAAAATTTAACTTTGAAACAATTTGATCAATTTATATTTAATTCATTTACTGCGAAGTTGCAGTGGTTTGCAAATTATCATCATGCACAATTAAACAATCATCATCTTCTGAATTTTTATGTATTTTAATGTTTGATTTTGTATTACCAGTATCATTAGTTATATCATTTTCAATAATAGAAATATCATCATCTACATTATGAACTTCCACTTTTCTTTTTTTTGGAGACACAGTTTCCTCAAGAGAATTAGTTTTACGTTTCTTTACTGTATCCAATGAAACAGTTTCAGTTTCAACAATCATTACATTTTCTTCAGATGACTCCACCTGAATAAAATTTTTAATTTGTATACATATTTAAATTCGTGAACATTAACATATTTAAATGTTATTTTAATTACCTGGCCATTTGAAGTAGATGGTTTTATTAAATCATTGTCTTCTTTAGGTTTGAGATCTTTTTCATCAGCTAAGATGAGAAAATCAGGACTATCACCTTTTAAACTTGGACGTTCTCTATAAATTATGGTTATAGTCAATGAATAATTCTGTTGAAAATCATCAACCTTAAGAATGGTACCATCTTTAATTCCTAATTCTTCTAAGAGTTTATCATTATTTTCTTCAGTTTCTCCTTCCTCGCTACTAATAACAACAGAACCAGTACCATCTATCATAACATCTGGAGCAATCATGTTTAATCTACTTTTTAATATTATTTCAAGTAATTCTTTAATTGTTGTTTTAGATGTATCTATTGCTAGTATGGCTTCTGGCATAGGTGCACATACATAACATTTTGGATTTGGTGGATTAACATTTTTCTCTGGTACTAATAACTGATTACGATGATTCATTTTCGAACGCAAATATACAGATCTACATGCTTTTAAATTATTTTCAAGAATGCGGAATGCATGAAGAACGACTAAACCAGCAACTATTGCGTTTGTAGTTGCGATTGCAGGAATTATATTTCCTGCCATTGCTATAAAATATAATTAAAGTTAAAAAACTTATAACTTTTTTATTTTTAGAATGTAATGGTTATTTTCTTACATTTTATATCAAACTTTGTTTTTTGAGGTATACCAAAAATATAAGCTCTTATATTAGCACATGCAGCAACAAAATCCATTGAACTTGGATCATCTTTATCCCAAATCAAATGATTATTTGATGATTTTTCTTGTGAAACTTTTAAAGTATTGCTTAAACTTTTGATTGATTCAGCAAATATTTTTCCACATTTAGAAATACTCCATCGTTGCTGATCTTTTAAACCAGGTTCATTAATTTCTTTACTGCAACCTGGTACTGTATTATGAAAAACTTTAAGAAAATATAATTATTTTTAATAAAACATAAGTTTAAAACAATTATTCTACAAACCTCCATCTGGTAATTCTTTCCAATTTAAAGGAATAGGTGATCTTCTTTTCTTCCATAAATTATCCATACTTAATAAGTATTTTATATCATCATGAAATAATTTTGTAAATAATTTTTCTGGATCATAATTACATGATTGTGCCCAAATTTTAGTTGATGTTCTATCAACATTTCCTTTTTCATTTGATTCTGAATTTAAAGCACTTTGACCTGCAGAATCTACATCATTTTATTCATTTTTACATATATATTATATATATATTTTTTAATATTATTTAAATATTATCCTTACCTGCTGCTTCTGGGTCAGCAGTATCTGGAGAAACATCTTGATCAGGATCTTCTTCACCAAATAATTGACTATAAATTTAAAAATTTATATATATTATATATTATATATTTTATATATATTATATATTATATTTATACATATATATATTTTTTTTTAAGAGAAAAATTAATTTATAAACTTACTTGAATAAATGTTTTGCCCATACTATGCAATGAATTGGTTCACTAGGTGTATTACGAATTGTACAACCTGGGAAAGTTTTTTGTGCAGCTTTTGGTGTGCATTCATAACATTGACTTAATCCTTTTTTTATAAGTTCTACCTGACCTTCATAACCAGCTGTACCAGATTCAATTAATGGTACATCTGCTGCTAAACACATTCTATTTACATGATTTCTAGCTGTTCTATTATCAAGAGCATTCATAACTAAAGTAAATTTTTTAAAAAATGATACTCCATAATCAGAACTGTAAATAAAGATTTATAATTTATTATAAAATTATTTTAAAACTATTTATTAATATATATAACTATATAAGAATATTTACGTTGTAATACTGTCATGGTAATGAACTATTTTTGCATCAGGATTAAATGTTAATGCTGTTTCTCTTGCAACATCTGCTTTTGATTTTCCCACATGTTTTTTTTGAAATAAAAATTGTCTATTTAAATTACTAACATCAATTGTATCTAAATCAATCTGAAAATCATGAATGAACAATCATGTGACAAAAATAATTATTTAATCTTAAATATTTTTTTGTTATAAAACCATAATATTATACATTCTATTATATATAATTATAACAATATAAATACCGGTTTCAAAATTTGTATAACAATGAATACCATTAAAAGAGAGAAAAATATATAGGTTATTAAGATTCTTTAATAAATATTGATGTACATACTATTTCAATATTAGTGAATCCTGTCATAACAAGATTTTTTAATATCTCACATCCAATTCCACCAGCACCCACAATTAATACTTTACTTTGAAGTATTGCATTTTGTAAATTTTCAGTGAAAACTCCGTTAATGTTGGCCGCCATTTTTTAGGTTAAACACGACAATACACACTAACACCGTTTACGACTATAAACGTACTAATATAAACTTTTACTTATCCTGTACCATTTCCTTAGTCCTTTTATCCAATCAGTTTATAATTTTTCTTATTTGCATATATATATATATATATAATATATATAATATTATATATATATATATATTTATTTCATATTTATACATAATTATAATAAATTAAAATTATATTAAAATTATTCAATATTAATAAATAAAAATAAATGTATATTTTAATATTGCATTATCTTTATAAAAAATTTTTTAATAAAATAGCAATATAGGGAATTTATAAAAGTAGGAGTACACATCCTTCTTAAATACTTTGATTCTTTGATCAGTTTGAATTTGAAAAAACTATAAAAAACAGTTTTATTAAATTGTCATTAAAGCAGTATTCATTATTGACAATATGAATAGTTTCAGTGATTTAAGTCAGATTTCAGGTATGTAAGTTGATTATAACTTTTAAATTAAAAAATATTTTAATATTTTAATAATTAAAATACAATGTAAATATAAATAAATATATAATTAAAATTTTATTTATTTTTAGACATACAAAGTATTTCACGAATTTCTCGCACGAATTGTAGTCGAATATTTGGTAGAATAGATTCAATGCAAAACTTATTTGAACAACAATGTAGTTTATCTTACAATACAAGTAGGAATATGACAAATCAAGGATCTAATTATTTAGAAAAAACTATAAAATGTCTTACTTCTTGCGAAGACAACATAGCAGAACATATAAAAAGCAAATTAATTTTAGAATGTATAAAAGAGACATTGTTAAATGTAAAAGGAATATTGTCTGATAATGTTGTTGATAAATTAAAAGGTTTACTTTTGATTCACGAGCTTAACAAATATATGCATTTACCATCTACCTCAAAAAATATGCAAGAAGAATTAAGTATTTTAGGAATCACTGATTTACCAAAATATGATCTTACTTATGAAGAAATGTTAGATACTAAATGTTATGTGGAAACATTGTTACGAGAAAAAATACATGAATTTATATTAAGGTAATAATATTATAATAAATTTAAAATTTATTTCATTAAAAAAAAAAATAAAATAAAAAATATAAAATAATATTATTATATTTTAGATATGAACAATTGGGAGGAAACATGAAGGAAATTCTAAGATCAACTGATATTAATATACATAAAAAAATATTTGAGCCACATGAAATACAAATATTCCAGTGGAAAGATAAGATTGAAGAATTGTGTGCTCAATATGAAATCGATATTGTAAAATGTAAAACTTTAATGAATGAATGGAATGAATTGAAATACAAAAATGTAAGTCAAATTTATTTAGAAAAAGCAGAACATGTATTGTTGCAAGCACAAGTTGCAGAAGTACAAGCAAAGATACTTAAGTTATCATGTCTTATAAAAATGTACAAGGAAACTCCAATAACAATTGATGCATATAAAGCACTGAATACATTTATAGATAAAAAAATATTTACAATAATGAATGAAATTAAAGAAAAAGAAAATTTAAGGAAACAATATGAAGAATTAGAGAATACAGAATATGATGAAATTTTAAAAACTTATTTACATTTTTGCAAAGCTATTAAGAAACAAAAACAAATTAATTTACTGATCCAAAAATAAATGAATTTTTAAATATATTTATATTTAAATTTATATCTAATATTATTAAATTATTAAAAAAAAAAAAAAATTTATATCTAATATTAGAATAAATATAATAAATCTTATACTAGAATAAATATTTTTATTTATTTATACATATATATGAGTTCATATAAATATTTCTATTCATAAAAAATATTTTCATTTATATTACATTATACAATAAGTTATAAATTATATTATTAAAATTAAGTAAATTTTTTAGAAATAAATAAGAATTATTAATAATTTTAAAATCAATAGGAATCAATAGGAAGGATATATTTAAAATTATTTAAAAACATATATTTATTTTATTTATTCACTATCTGATAATGTTTGTTTATCTTGTATAGTTATAACAGGTATACAATTTTTATCAATAAGCATTCCATGTTCAATTAAAAAGGTTTCAACATCAGAGGCATAAAAATCTTCTCCTAAATAATCTGTTATATGAACAAAATTACCTATTATTTGACCAGCTTTATAAACTAATAAAGCTGGAACTCCTTCTTTTTTAAAATGTTTACTGAGTCCAGCTACTGAACCTGTAACAAAAATAATATTATATACAATTTAAATTTAAATGATATAAAAGAAAAATATTTTGAGACCAAACCTAAAATTTTACAAAATTTTACATATGGATAATCATCTGCAACAGATATTAGAGACCCATTCATAGCTTCACAGCCAGGAATATTATTTTCATAAATATGAACAACAATTGTTATTGATTTTTCTTCATTGTCAACTGCTTCTAAAAATTGATCTGCAGTTTCTAAATTAATTATTCTGCCAAAACGAAGTTTCTCAGTTTTTGCAAGCATTTCTTTCATTCTTTGTTTTTGATATTCTAAAAGAAATTCATCAGTTAATAATTCAGCAAGATCAGGATCAGTTTGCATGATTTTTTCTTTTTCTTCATCTAAAGAACTACGACATGTTAAACTCAATTTTTTTATTAATTTAATTCTTTCCTTGTCTTGTTCATTTCTTTTTTCTGCTTGCAACTGTTTGTATCGTTGCCAATCCTTGAAATAAGATTAAAATACATTTACTAAAATATTGATTAAAAATTTATATTACATATTACAATCTTAATTTTACTTTTATAACACCCTTTGGTCCTGTGTTGCTAGAAGTACCATCCCATTCTGAAAATGATGGTTCTATAGAATTTGTAATTATTTGTGGATATTTTTCATCCTCTGTTTCTTTATCTGAATCTGCAGAATCATTTTCTTCATCTTCACTAGAACTACTACAATAATAATGTAATTTTTCGCCTAAAATCTTATTTTCCAATGTTGACATGTTTAATTCTACTATTTGGAAATAGTTTGCACTATTTGTTTTATTGAATATGTATTTTGAATATAATTACGTTTCTTATCCTTAGAATATTTATGACATAAAATCATTTATTGGATAATAAAAGTAAAAGCACTTTATGTAAATAACATTAAAATATTATCCAGAGAAATATTGTATCAAATTTACCTAACATTACGTGCAAATTTTACACATATTGTATTGTATAAATAATACGAAGTTATATTTATATTATTAAGATTTGATAAAGATATTAAGTTTTAATATTTTAAGAAGTTAAAATATGCAACAACTAAATAGCTCAAAATGTCAATAGTTTTAATTAACTTACGAACATCTCGTAAATATATAAGAAATTATAATTTACTGGCTTATATATTTTAATACGATAACAAACCGATAGATGGAACATGTATATCATCTGATGATTAGATTTATTTGTTTCATATTAGATAACGTCTGTAGTTATAGTTACTGGTATGCATGTACCATTTATAATAAAATACCAATAGATGGAGTTACTATATATATAATTTGACGAATAGTTTCATCTCTTTGTTATCAAATAGTTTTAAGTTAGATAGAATTTTGATATTCAGTGTCCAGTTTTCATAAAATTGAAAAACATAACATTTAAATTAAAAACTCTTACGTATCAAGGAAAAAAATAAAGTTTTCTAATTAATTAAAATAAAAAGTTAAGTTGATTTTTGTTTCTGATTATTTTTATTAAGACATACAATAAAATAAATTAAGTTGCTATTTTAAATTTTAAAAGTTTTTATATTATGAAAGATCAAAAGAAAAAAAAATGAGAATTGTAAATGCATACGATATCTTTTTTATTTTAAATTTTATTTTAATCGCAAATTTAAAGTACAATTTTTTCATTTATAATAACTTAATAAGTGATTAATAAGTGATAGTGAATTAATTCAAAATTAAGGATTAAAAAATATATTTCTCTTCTTGAAAATAGTACTTTAGTGATTAAACTAATAAAAATATTTCCGATCTCTTTAAATGAAATTATATTATTTTATACAATATAAAGTCGTTTGTGTTAATAGTACAATCTAATGAATGCCAATTATTTAAACAATTCGCATAATATTGACAGAAGATTATATTTTTTAATTCTCACTAGTGATAATTTATTGGAGGTCAATGATAAATCAGAACCCCAGCAGATCATTCTTAATCAATCGTGAGGGTCGGGAAATTTCGTAATATGATACTTATAATTATCTTTAAACGCGATTAAAGCAATAATACATAAATATTGTATCGAGAATTAACTTTAGTAGTCATTAATTGCTGAAAAAATGGAAATTTTTTTTTTTCGTTAAACTTTTCTAATCTTTCGTTTTACATTTTTGTGCGATAGCTATATATAAATTATCTATATATTAATAGATTAATTATTTATATACTAATAGCTATATATTATATAAAAACTATTTTAAGAAGAAATTTTTAATAAAAAATAATTTTATTTTTTTCGTATTTGATTTGTTCAAAAATAATATATTAGCAATGGTGGCACGAAATTATTATATAAAAATAATAAAAATGTCTGAAAAATGTGAGAACATCGATTAGATATTTTGAGATAATTTTAAATAGTATTTTTTTTTGCAAAAAATTTCATTACAACTAATAAATTATTAACAGAAAATACTGACCAATCATGAAACGTGTAGTCTAATCGAGTTGTAGTAGTGTTGGTTATGTGTTGCCAACTTTGCACAAACCAAATAATATATGTTGAAGAAAGTGTGTTGAATATATATCTCGTGACTTGACTAAGCTACATAATTGGTCAGTGTTTTTTGTTAATAATTTGTTAAAACTGAAATGAAAATTTTTGCAAAAAAAATTTTGAAATTACTTCAAGAATCTCCAATTAATGAATGTTCCATTTTTTGGGACATTGTATAATTTGAATTTTCTAGTATAATAAATAGAATTAAATAATTAATTATTTTATTTCCTGCTATTAATTTATATGTTAATTTATATTTATATATATTATAATAAATTATATATATATATATATATATATATATATATATTATAATAAATTATATATATATATGATATTTTACAATAATGATAGTTTACAAATGATGATTCTGAATGCTTGCACAATAGTGAGTATATAAGAACTATTCGCGCTTATTTGAATTATAATGAAGTTTCGTCAGTCGATATAATGATAACAAATATGCGTATTTGTTGCGTCTTGTGTAAGTTCATCATTATATGTACATCATTATTTGATGTACATGTTTCTGGAATATTCTCGATTAAATTTTTAAATTTTACATAATAAGTGAAAAAACTAGAAAAATAAAAAGGAGACAAATATTTTAATGATACACAGAAAAATTCAAAATATTGATAAAATTTTAAAAAAAGATTCGAAATTTTAGAGTAAAAAGTATTTGGTTAAAAAATAAATCAATTTTTAATAGATTGATATTTTGACTTTTTATCATATTACTTCATGATATAAAAAAATATTAATTTTTTATTCTGAACATTATTTTTTTAATGATAATGTTTTTAAGAAAACAAGAGTTTTGCATAAACAAATTAGGTTTTTCCCTAAATATTCTTTTATTGAATGATTCTTAATTTTCTAATTGAATTAAGTATCATCGAATTAGTCATTGTGACCTGAATTCACAATTTATCAATTATTATTTTTTATTGATGTATAATTAAAGTTCTTATAATTAAAATTGATTTATAATAGACATTTATTGAAAATGGAAATGATTTTGCATATTTTGAATATTTAAGAATACTATTTAAGAACACTATTTATTAAGATTAATAAGCACTTATGTATCGAATTGATTCGTTAACTGTTACGCGTTGAACGACAATCAACTAGCAAATATGATCCATATATTCACGCTGAACGCGTTAATTAGGTGATTCTGTCTAGTTTATATAACATCGATCCAATTCGATTATAATATCGCGTGTAAACAAATTAAAATTTGACATGTTACTCTATTCGATATTTGTTTTATGCGCACGTACTATTGTTCGAATTTGAATTTCAATGAATCAAATATCTTTTTTTCCGAATCTTTATTCGTTTTTTCTTCTTTCTTTTCTTTCTCTATTTTTATTTCAACCACAATTAAAAAACTTTGACGACACTGAAAATCTGTCCCTGACGCGGCAAAAATTTGTTTTAGGGCAAAAGGCAGACGTTCTTTGTGGGCGATCAGCGAAATTATGCATCACTCGTTGCATCGCAAAGTAGCTTCCGGACTCACGAGGGAGAAGACCGGTGAAAACTGAATTTACAGTCTATTCGAAGCCGTGTTGTTCACGTGTATTTTGACCCCCGTTTCACCCTCTATGTTGGCTACCGTAATTTGCAAGTTGCGGCTCGATTTACACCTTTTCGATTCGCTCGCGTTGCTGCATTTTTTATTTTGTAAATTGTGACGTTTCGATTTGATATGTCGTTGAATAGAACAAATTAAGTAACAGAAAAGAGCAGATGAATAAAAGAATTTCAAACATTCTTAATTGTTTCTAAAATTTATAAAATCATCAACATATCTCTTTTGTATTTGTAAATTTTTAAAATAGTCGGTAAAATATATTTTTTTGTATAATAATAATATGCCTCGAGGATTTAGTAAAAATAGATATTATGTCAATTAATATTGTGCAAGAATAACTTTATTATTGATATGAAACTACTGTTTTCATTGATTTAGAAATAACTTATAATCATAAATATTTTATCAATTCCATTTTTGAATTTCTCGTAAATTTCTCTACTGTTTCCATCGTTCATATTGAATTACTTTCATAAAACGATTATACCATGCAACAATTACCGAAGAGATTAATCGATTTTATAATAATGATAACAAAAGATTTTCAAAATTTTCTTTTATTTATTTCAAGAAAACATTCTTTTAAAAATTTCTCGAAAAATACAAATACGATACATGTTTCAATTTTCTTTCCTGTTAATAATTCTCTATTTTTTTCTTTGCTATTTATCGTATTAAGAATTAGATTAAAAAGAAAATAATTGCGTAGTTAACACGATAATTGACAAAATTGAGAGAGAACTAAATAAATAAATAATTATAAAATATATAATTATAAATAAATAAATAATTATAAAAAAAATTGAAAAACACTTGAATCGTGTTAAGAATTAGATTAGAAAAAAAATCATCATGCAATTAACAGGATAATTAACAAATATTAACAAATATTTTAAAGAACAATTATTAAAATGTGTAAGATTATATTATAGGAATGAAGAAATATGTTAACGAAAATCTAGTTCACGCGATTATTCACTTTCATTTTACTTGTTTGCAATTGTCGACAATCAATGGCGATAAGATTGTTATTTTAGAATGATTGTTTTTCCCGATGTTGAATATCGTCATCATTCATTGACACCATGTTCCTTCTTGTATCCGAAGAAAATTCTTATATCGTATTTTGCAAATAATCATCTTTCACTTCGATCACGAATCAAGATCAATACGTTTTCGTTTCGAAACTTAATCCTTAATATAATTGTATATTTCGCGTGGAAAGTTGCAAAGTGCTCAAATCGTGGCGGAGAAAAGAGATTAGAATTATTCCTTTTTTTTTTTTGTTTTTTTGTAATAGAACGATTGAATCATCAATCGATCAAGTCACAATTTTGCTCGTACTATATTAATAGAGAGATTTTCAAAAATAGCAGGGCACGTACATAACTCGAGAGGGGTCGAGAATTAAATTTTGGATCGTGTACGAGGCCTGTTAATCGGCCATAATTGGCTCATTACACGGAGCACTAGGAGCTGGCCAAAATTCGTATCCTCGCAAATTGGCACACGTGTCATCGGCCGGATGCATGTAAATCTGTCATGGGATTCCTCGATACGATGCGGTCAAGTGGGAAACATCAACTGGATCGTAATTAATATTCGGATAAATTCGAGGTGCGCGCCAGCAACAGTTTGGTTGTGCGCTTCCGTCCACGATTGCTCCGGATCGTTTCGTTTGTTCCTGTTGAGATAGGATTTATTTTTATCTTCAATCGCGAGACATATGTTTAGATCGAATTTATCAATTTTCCCCCCTGTTCGTATCGTTAAGAAGAAAGATAAGAATCGTTCAAACGTACGATTACATATGATTATCGAAGATCGTTACAGGTTCAACGAAGATTTGATTATCCGATATCGAGTTGAGCACGAACGATCTTCGGATCTTCGGAGATCTTCTAGAGATAACGGTTGATTCGAATTGAAAGAAATAAGGAGATAAACACTTCACAATTATATACTCAACGACGTTGTACTCAACGATGATTGAAATTCAGGACGCTCGATGGGAAATGTTCGTATACGGAAATAAGTATGTTGAACGAGGCTCGCTTCTAAGTTACAAGCAATTTAGACGTCTTGTACGACCATGGTGCCATTTTTTTCTTCGCAAAATTTATCGAAAGGAAAATTGACACGAGCATCGTTCATCGAACGATTGCAATCGAAGAAGAAATTATCCTCACCGGTCTTAATTTGTCGCGTCGATCATCGAAATCACCGTGACTTCTTAGGCATCGTGAAACTTTGCTTTCTGTGGAGAGGCAAGCTTAGATAAACGTTATGTTATGCTCATATAGGGAACGATAGGTTTTATCAACAAGCATGTGGCATTCGTCGGCATGCGTACTCTTTTAGAAGACTAGCTGTACTGTCATTCTTGGTATTGTCACAACACGAAACAAATAACAGAGTGCACGAATGGCGGTGGAAATTAGACTATTTAACTGTAATGGGTTATCGTCGCATGCCCCTACCTCCCAGCGACTTTTTGATCAATCTTCACGAGGAATGGAGGGAGCGCGAGTAAACGTTCGAAACGATTGGCCGGTTCATTGTCGTCACTGTTTTTTTCAACGGTATCGAGTATCTGTATAAAACAGCAAGAAGCCGAGTCATCGCGGCCACAAGTCAGATCTTTCTTAAACGGCGTGCACAGTATTTCGTTTGTTCATTCACTCACAGTTTCCTTATCTTATTTCGATTGTCTCGTCTCGTTGTTCCATCGATTCGATCGGTTTTTATCGGGTTTTTATCGTCTAGCGTAAAATATAAAATTCGAATCGGGGAAGGGATTGAGAAAAACAGGATGCCTTTCGCGGATACCGAAACTATTAATGGGTACAATCATCACCCGCAATTGAAACAATCTAAAAATAACGAATTGTTGCAAACGGTTGAAGAATCATCGCACAGCACGTAAGTAGCTTATTGAATGAAACGATAGAATTAAGTTAAATATTAATATTAATAAGAATTAAGTTGAAGATGGCTTTTTTCTTGAAAGATTAAAAATTTTTTTGACAATTCTTCCACTTGTTGAATTTTAAATAAAATCGTTAATGTTGATTACGTTGACTGCGTCAAGTTTTTACGAGAACTAAGTCAGTTACACACAATTCGTGGAAACATATCAGAATCTCCACTTACGGGGAATTGCTTTTCAGAGGATTCATTAACGTTGAAAATGTTATCAATTGTAAATGGGTCAAACAATTGTTACAGAAATTTCGGTTAATCAACAATGCGAAAACACTAGGATGTATATATTATCTAATATTAAAAATATATTTTCTTTATTATTCTTTTTGCTATCATACTTTGTGATTCATTCATTCACTCAAATTTAGAAATATTTTTACATCTTTCACTTGACGTTATAAACAAATTTGAATTAACTCGAATTAGAGAAATTCAATAGTGTAATCGAATTATTTATCAAATTTGTCTTAATAATACTTATGACATTTTCAGAATAAATAATTTATTATGGTAATCAATAAACAAACACAATTATTATATAACTATATAAAAATACAACAACACGTTTTTGCTTATAATTTTGATAACAATTTAAATATTTTTTTTACCAAGACATGATTACACGCTCGTATATTAATATATTATGATAACACGATATATTATATTTCGTTCATGTTCGAATGAATTTTACCTAGTTTTTGGATTTCTAAACCACTATGACAATGACATATGACATCGACATATCGAAGCGTACATCATTTAATCCCGAAAGTTTAATTAAGTTACAATAAGTTATCTCGAGTCTACGACGACAATATTTAACACGTAATCGCTATATAAATAAAAATTTTCTCAGAGAACGACACACGCGACCGTGAACTTTTGACTTAACGTGCCGTACATTAATATTCTTTCAATATTTCGTGATGGAGAGAATGGAACATCGTTAAAAAAAAGTCGGAGAAGCTCGAGAAGAAAGTCGAGGCGTTGAAAATTTGAGTCGATGCATCGTTAATATAATAGTTTGCTCGAAGCGAAAGCCGGATTAAGCAAAGAGCGGTTCGTTACTTATGGATTTCTTTTTTTCTTCGAAATCCCATTTTCCCTTTTCCATTTCCCCCCCTCCCCCCTCCTTTTTTTTTTACATTTTCCCCTCCCCTCGCTTGTTATTCCCGTAGAAAGGGAAACGGTATTCATCCCATCTTGGACGAGTGTTTCGATGTTAGGTAGTTAGAGAGAGAAATTTGTCAACGGTCTATTCGTACTTCGTTCAAGAGCACGTCAGAGATATGTAGGCGAACGTCCACGCGCAAGTTCGGTGTGTTTTGAAACATCCAATTAGAAGTTGCGAGTGTTCATACTTTGATTTTGTTTATTCAATCGAGCAAACGAAGGGAGCTGGCGCGAAACTCGAAAGCTGCGCTTGGGACAAACGCAAACAGGAATTAAACGTAAATGGCGTGATGACGTTGACATTTCGGTAAACAGCGTTGGGAAAGCTGGTGGAGGGAAAAGGGAGGGAAACAGAGGTCGATTCGACAGCTTCAATCGTCGCCACTTTATCGGCGCAATTTCTTTGTCTTCGTAATCGTTTCGTAATAATCCGTTGCATCATTATCATCGGGTAAAATACGACCCACTCGTGTGCATCTATTAGGATTTATTACGATCGTTTGTTATCGGAATATTTCTTCTTGCTCCGCAATTGATTCGAAGGCTATTTCAATTGAACGAAAGATCGGTGAGATTGGTGATGATCGATCAATCGATGCTATTCTGTTTCATCGATCGACGAATCGCGGCAGATTTCCGATAATCAGAATCGGGGAAGCGGCGTAAAAATTGCACGTCGAATTTCTTTTTCTATCCTCGATTCTTTTCCTCGCGAATAGAGCTCAAATGCTCTATTCTTTGTCGGCTCGTCGATTTGATATTAACATCTGTCCGATTCGGTTTTATTTCTCTCTCTTTAGTTACGCGTTCGGTATCGCTCGTCAGAGTCGTTGCTTGAGACCTGTTTCTCGCGAAACGAACACGCGATTTGAGAATATTCCCGAAACGTGAGATTTATCGCGACGGGTATCCGACGCGGTGATGTGAAGTAAGCGGGGATCTTAAATATTTTCTACAAAAATCAGTGTCTCGAACAATAGGAGTAAGGGAATCTGGAGTAAATGGAGAGAAGAAAAATGCCTTAAGCCGATTTCCGAGCATGGTGTGCATCTATAATCGAGATTAGAGCGAGTGATATTGTAGGCAGAATCGCGGAGGCATCATTGAATCCTTGCCATGGCCCGGAGCGATGCGCATTCACGTCGTTATAATAATCGTCGACCTTACATTTGCCATTCATAACGGGCCACCGTACAATCCCGTTTTACGATGGAGCATCCGCGAATGCGGTTGGTCTAATGACGTTTGCCATACCCGCGGCTATATCGAAGCTTTTCCACGGGTACCCGGCGAAACTGCGAAGCAATTCTCAGATCCGCGGTTGAATACCGACTGTATTGGCAACGGAGATGCAATTCAACGCGTATTCAACGTGTATTCAATCGCATCATAATTTCGTGTCCCTTATGACGACACACGTACGCGCAGCGATTACGCGCGTCAACCGTGCGCGCGTCTCGTCTTATCGCCGCCTCTTTCTTTCCGCTTATTAAATTTCCGCTTGCGAAACGCAGAGGAAACGCAGACGAGAATCACGGAGGGCTCGCGATAATCCGAGCTACGAAAAAATGGATAGCGATTACAGCTTTATCCTCGGGACTAGTTTCGCTTCTTCGGTCGCGAGATTTCTGGGGGCAAGGTGAAACGAGAATCTTTTTACCTTTTGCGGGTGTTACGACGTGAATTACAAAAAAAAAGAAAAAAAAAAAAAAAAGAAGAAGGGAAGAAGGAACACACAGGACATTAAAATTCACAGTGGGATCGTAAGTAATTTTCGATCGCGTCGCGCGTAGTGTTATGTTGGAGGCGCGCTTATTCGAATGCCATTCGGAAATTCTGTGTGTGCATCTGTGCGTGGAGGCTGTTCACGAGCGCACGCGTGAACGCATACACGAGGCTAGATGCACGGGATGCGCATACACACTCGTAAACACGTTACGCGGCCGCCCGCGTATTTCGATGCATGATTTGTAATACCCTCGAAGCCTACATTCAGCTTAAATCCGGCGCTATTTGAGCCTGTTAGCAGTTTAACAGGTAACTGCACCGTTTTGTGATAGTTTCCACAGTGAAATTATGTTGGCCGGCTACGAATCATTCCACCTACTCTCCCGTTCACCTAACTCACATCGATTATTCCCAAATACTCCGATTATTTTCATACGTTCGTACGGCGTTGATCTGTGTGAAACTGAATCGATGAAAACAATTTTCTTCTACACGAAAATATTTGCTTATATAATTTTTGCGTAATTATGATTTATGTAATTATGTTATTCGATCAAACATATATTGCATAAATATATCAATATCACGTATTTTTAACGGATTCGAGCTATCGATAGAAGAAATTGGCTAATATTTCTCGGTATCGCGTAATAAATAACAATTTATGAAAAGAAATAAAAATTTGACATCTTAAAAATATTAAACTGTGCTTCGTAAAAGTTGATTTTCACTCATAAATATATCAACTGTTTGAATAAAATTTTTTTTATCTTGTTTTTATATTATAAAAATTATATCATAAAATTTAGGAATTTATTATATTTCTGCCACGAATTAATGTAAAAGATTCGATTTACCGTTAATGAGATTTTTGATTATATTTTCCTTTATATTATTCCTTTATATTATTTACGTATTCGACATAATTATAAACTTTTTGAATATGAATGATTGTTCGAAAAAATCCATCGTGTTCAATGTTTCCCATAAATTTTCAATAGGATTAATAACAAGGGAACACGTAGACCAATAATAAATGTTATAATCTAATAAATGTTATTTATTTTTCGCAGTAAATTATACGAGCCGATTTATGAACATTGATTGATTCACGCATTATCGTACGTGAAAATTAAATTTTCGAAAATTATTCGTAATGCAACGAATTTGTTTCCTTACGATTACAATACCAACATAAAGAAGATATTAAAGATTGGTATTACGAATCTATGAAATATATGAAAGTCGACTTAATATTTATATTAAATGTATATCATTTATCACGCTTTATATTAAACTTTACCCTTTTCTACATAAATTATTGTTTATGTACTATATATTAGTGAAGAAAGAATATTTTATAAAAAATATTACAGTTTCCTGTCAAAAGCATAGATTATTAAAAATATGGAGTGCATTCCCGCAACGCACTGTACTGATATATACAGATACAAATACTTCCAGATATACGTTCGAGGATCTGCAAGAAGCGGCACAATATTTGCTGGACCGGATCAAATTGAAGCCAAAACTTGGAATCATATGCGGTTCTGGAATGAGTTAGTATGGATTTTGAAATGGCTTGGCAATGGTGGTGGGACAAGTCAACGTTATTCTATTCCCAAACAGGATCAAATGAGCAAAACGAGTTGTGTCCAGGTTCGCTGGCCGATTGTCTCGAGAATAAGCAGTCCATCCCCTATCAAGAAATCCCGCATTTTCCTGTCTCCACTGTGAAGGGTCACCGAGGCCAGATGGTTTTCGGTTATTTGAATTCTGTACCGATTATGTGCATGCAAGGCAGATTTCACTATTACGAGGGTTATCCACTTTGGAAGGTAACATTGTATTCGCAATCTTTACGAATCTATATCAATGGCATACACATCGCCATCCTTTGAAAATAAAATTTTCCAGCATTATATAAAATCCAGCATTATCCATCGAGATAATCGAGAGTTATTTTCTTTTTTTTTTTTTTTTTCTTTTCGTTTAATTTAATCACTCGGATTATTTATATAAATATACTTATATATGTTTATATTTATATTTCTTTTTCCCTTTTCCAAACGCAGTGCGCCATGCCAGTAAGAGTTATGAAGCTCGTAGGTGTGACTCATCTGATCGCGACGAACGCGGCGGGAGGTCTAAATCCCACATACAAGGTTGGCGACATTATGATGGTGAAGGATCACCTGAACATGATGGGTTTTGCGGGGAATAACCCTCTTCAAGGGCCAAACGACGACAGGTACTTTCCCTCGTTCCTCTTATCCTCAACGCGCCGTACCGTGAAACGCGTCGCATTACTCCATTTTGTATTGCCCCCTATATATATATATATATATACACACTCTCTTATATTCTCTTACGGAGTTTTATTTTATTTTATTTTATTATTTTTTTTTTTTGCGTACGATTCTTAAAATCCTGCGTGTATCAGAAATTAGCGTCAATTAGTTTCTTCGATTTTATCGAGAAAAAGTGGGGGAGGAGAAGTGGGTGAAAGAGAGATAATACTGGGAGGGATGATGGATGAAAGAAAAAAATAGCGGTTGAAAGGCGGGCTAGTGAGATTCACGGTGTGAATTCGAATCCGCTTCAAATCGACAAAGGCTTTCGGGCTCGTTTCCGGAAGGAAAATCGTCGACGACGCTCGCAGATTGCGAACCGCTCGACGAACTCGATTCTTCGAGTTCTCGCCCCCTAAGGGCAAAAGGGTGGGATAGCCGTGCGAGATCGTTGAGGTCGTCGAAGGAATAAAATTAATCTATTTCATCGGAACAACCCGTTGAATCGGATTGATGAACTATTTACCCGACGACACAAAGAATCTGATTGACGTATTTACTTAAAGATCTTCCTCGATTTTTCCGTCTACCTTCTTCTCCATCTTTCTTCTTTTTTTCCTCTTCTCTATCCTCTTCTCGGTTCATACTCGGTTGAGTTTTCGTTAACCTTCCATCCCTTGAAACTTGAGATACTTTCATTCTAACTTTTCTTCCTCTTCCTCCTTTCTTATTATATCAATTCCTGGTATGGAATCCATCGAATACGCTTGCCAGTTTCTCCCGCGCTTCCTTGCATTTCTTCCTACGATTACCGGATCTCCTCGCCAGTATGAATCACGATCGCGTTGCTCTTCGCGTTTCTCAGATTTGGACCGAGATTTCCGCCAATGAATAAAGCTTACAACGCCGAACTCTTAAAGATCGGTCAACAGGTAGCGAAAGAGATGGGCATAAGCGACATCGTGCACAAAGGTGTATACGCGTGTATCGGAGGGCCGAATTTCGAGACCGTGGCTGAACTGAAGATGTTAAAAATGATCGGCGTCGATGCTGTAGGTCAGTGGAATTATCGTAATAGAATATATATTTCGAACAGGTATGCCCATCGAAAATTCTATAATGTTTCTTATGTTTCCTTTTTAGGAATGTCTACGGTCCACGAAGTGATAACCGCCAGACACTGTGATTTGATCGTGTTCGCCTTCAGCCTGATCACGAATCAATGTACCATGGATTACGATAAGTGCGAGCAAGCGTCTCACGAAGAGGTGATAGCGGTAGGAAAAGGCAAACAAACGTTGCTTCAAGAATATGTGTCCAATATCGTGATACGTCTGCGAGACAAATTGACCTTATAGATGAACAAAAAAAAAAAAAAAAAAAGAAAATGATTTTTATAATTTATATATTTATTAGAATATTTGTTAGAATGTTTTTATCTCTTATTCGTCTAAGAGAATAAGAAAGGAATGAAGAAAAAGAACGTTTTTGATACGCGTGATATTTATAAGATAAATGCTCGAACGATTTCTCGAATAATTGTAAATCCGGGAGTAGAGGTTTTCATTAGGGATTTTTAGTTTAATCGAGATTTAGAAATGACACGTGCAATTTTTATCGCGATTTTTATCGTTAAATATCCTCGCTTGCCTCGGAGAGGAGATATTTTCTAAACGAAATCGAACTCGCTTTCGTCGAGATGCACAATATCGATAAGCTTGTGAACATAATTGTGACATTTCGTATGCGAGCATTGTATCGAGATTTTTAGATAATTTACGTTTAAAATATCGGTTACTGCCCTTATTTTATTCTTTGTCGTAACACTACGAATAATCGCTGATCAAGCAAGAGAGATAATTAAATCAGTATTCGACAGTATTTCACCGAAACGAAAAGAATTGGTTTATCCACGTGGAAATCAGCTTATCATCAGCACATTATTCGAACGTGTTTCAACTTTATGTTTGATCTCACACAACAATCAGAGAATAAAAAGATATAAATCGTATTTTTTGATATGGATAATTGAAAATTCGTTTAAATCCGAGATCCATAAATCGATCGTCCCTCGATCTCGATTGATTCGTAACACGTCTTGAGAGAGACCTTCTTTAAAAAGGGGGGAACTGTTTAAGAGTTGGAGGGGTTGGAGGAGATGTCGCCTCCACCACCCTTCTCCAGCACCCTCGTCGATTTTCCTCCCTCGCTTCGTTACCTTCATCTCGTTTCCGTGCTCTTCCATCGCTAATGCATCGGTGTTCGGCTTCGATAAATCTCGAGCGGCAAAGACCATACTGTCGCGGCCCTTCTCCCCCCTTCGTTTTCCGCCATAGTTGCTCCTTTCGTATTACCTTCCACGATGAAATTATGACATGACGTCGCGGTGAAAAAGTCACGGTCGAAGATTCAGTGTCGTCTCGATCGTCTCCGGAATTGGAAAGTATTTCGAGGAGACGAGAGAATACGTTTTCGTTCTAGTCGGGTATTTTTCATTTTTTTCTTTTCTCTCTCTCTTTTCTCCTCAAGAAAAGGAAACGAAAGATGAAATTATTCTTTAGAATGTCGGTAGAATGTCGCGCCATAACACCTTGGCGAAATGAAATTGCTGTTACCGATTTAATAAAAAAAAAAAAAAAACACGACAGAAATTGTTTACTTCGTCGTTTATTTCGCGATTTCGTTAAAAGCTTGTTTAATAACGGCGCATCGAGATGGGGCACGGTCACGATATACATTTAGCGGAATTAATACGTACGTGTATGAAACGTGTATACAATCAAATTGAATAATTTTATAGACCGTTCTCCTCCAATTTCGATCAATGATTTTCCGGTAAACGTGGTACACGGGAGATATCGCCGCGGCGTGTTCTATATTTTGCGAGAGGATGGAAAATTATAATTGTGCACGTCTAGGAAGCTTGGCGCGAAACGAGAAGGGAAGTAATCAAAGATATCGATGGAAATCTTGTTTCTCGCTTTCTATTTGCTCTTGTAATTCGCAACTTTCACAAATACACTCCATGTTATGAGTGAGCCACACTCAAGGCCCGTCTAATTGAACTTTCCTCTTTTGTACGAATCGAAACGTTTCGCGAAATCGTTTAACGAATCCATCCCATTTCTTTCTCATCGTGGTTTTAAGCGAGTGTATAAACTATAACGCGATAGCAAGGAAAGAAAGATATTCGTTCGAGTATCGTGCTCGAATATTCGCGGTTCGATTCATTTGGAAATCATAATTTAACTCTTCTCTTTCGACCTCGATTTCTCGAGTATCATCTCGACTTACTTGATTCGACGATCTTCGCTCGAATGGGATCGCGCGAGAACGAGGGCGACGGTAACTAAAAATTTATACAAACGGCAACCTTGAATTGAATTTTAAACGGTAAATCCACGCTTGTGACGGCACGTGCCATCTTTCGGAATAGAATACTTTCCGACCGTCTGCACGAGACTGTTGCATCCTCTCCGATTTGAAAGGGATACATTCGAGCATGTCCCGTGTATGGTATTCAAGTATAGGGGAACGAAGGGCGGAATAGCTTCGTCTGGTCGTATATTTCCACGTTGGAATAGAAACTGTACGAGGGATCAGTTATTGATATTTCTGAAACGGCAGATAAAACTTTTCCCTCTGTCTAGGAGGCTCTGTCGTATATCTTTCGTTTACCGATCTGCCTTTCGAAGAACAGCAATATCATAATCGAGATAGGGGATGATGTATTTCGGGTTTAACTTTCGCGTTATTCCGCTGCGATAATGGTGAAAAAAAAGGAAGTTAACAAATGGGTAAGGTGAGGTACGGGTGTTTGCGCGGGCAACGCTTAGAGGGATAACGTGAAATGAAATTCAGAAGAGCAGAAACGTCTTGATTATTTCAGAGAGTAAGATTGATAAGGTAATCCCGTTTTGTATCTTTATATAAGTTATCCTCTTTTCTCTTCCCCCTCCCCTCTCTTTGCTTTTTTTTTTGTTGCCTGATTCTTCTATGAAACGCAATGTAATTTTACCGTAATATCGCCGAGAGAGAACAAAAACTCTGTACTTTCTATGAATTAAAATATAAGAGAAAGAGAATGAACAAATGATACGCTGTTAACGATGCGTCCGTGTTTCTTTTTATCAATTCGTTTCATTAGATGGAAATTAGAATTATAGAATATCGCGGTACAATAATGCGTTCGAAATCTCTTTTTTTTTTTCTTTTTGTTTTTCGTGCGCAATATTAATTTGTTTTCAAGGAAATTGGAATGAACGAATGAAAACTGGAATGTCTATTAAAAATATTTAAGTGTACTCTAATCTCCGTTATATATAACGAGATAAATTAAAGCATTCAATTGATTGATTGATGCAATGACATGATACTGTTTAAAGTATTCTCTCTTCTTTAATAATAGAAAAATAAATCAAGGCTCAAATACAGCTTATCTATTCTTAATTGTTCTCTTTGTTTTTTCGGAATTTTGTGTCAATTTTCTTGTCAAAAATAATTTTTGTCAAATCTAAATTTTGATATTTGATGAATTTAGTTTGATAGTTACTATGATTGATTTGTCAATTTATCACAATGGTCTCTATATTATGCAGATGAAATAATACAAGCACATATTACGTATATAGATCAGAATATCTGAAATTAATTAGGATCGTACAATGTATACGTTGTATATAGATATTTTAATAATAAAGAAAAATAATAACACAAGAAACAAATTGCAAATGCAAAAAAAAAAAAAAAAATAAAAATATAATGCAGAAAACACAAAAAATATATAAAAAAAGAATATAAATAAAAATAGAGAAAAAAATCTTCATGCAATCCTAATTTGGTTAATGGGTTTCGGAATTATTAATATTTCAGGTTTTAAACGTGTGAAATATATATAATTTTTAAAATATAAAATATATCATAAAAGATTTTACTTGTTCCACATTGAAATATTAGAATCAATTATTTCATATGTAAATTTGCAAGAAAGAAATTGATTTTTTTGGACATTTTTAAACATAAATCGATATTCTATTAACCAATATAAATACAAATAAATTATTTAAAATAATTATTCATTTGTATCATATCTATTCTTAATAAAATATTCATTTTAAATGTTCATTTTACATCTATATATATATATATATATATNTATATATATATATATATATATAAACGGACATTTAATTAAATTATGCAAAGTGTAATTTAAGTGCGTCGATAAAGATGAACGCTATGAGTGTTCGACGTTTCAAAATTTTCCCGCCAGTCGCGCTAGAATCGCTCTCATGAGTATTCACCCCTCCCGCGCCACCTATAGGTTCGCCGGGCTGGACGAACCGCTAGTCGAGTTAGTACGACTCGTGACGTCGCGGAAGTTGGTTGTTTGTTTTGTGGTGTTCCGTTTGTACCGTTTCGTCGGCGATGTGATCGGTTTTAAAAGTGACGTGCGTTTTTTCGTACACATTATTTCGCGTTTTATAGCGGTTTGACGGTTTATCGATATATCGATAATCTATTAAATGTAAACGCGGGGAACGCGGAATACGTCCATTTCCAAATTTTGGCGTTAGTCGGTATCCATCACGTTCTCTCGTTACAATTCCATCATTTACCTAGCTGATCGGCTAAATTTTTGGAAAAGAATCGTCCAAAATACATCGAAATTCGTCTATAGTGTCTAATTGAAGTTCGATATCTATCGATGTCGTTACAACGTCTTAAGTCGAATTGCAATAGTAACGTTCCTCGATTCTTACTTCCGCGTTCAGAGTGTGGGAACAGTATAATAAAACGACACTTGAACACGTTTGATCATCTCAATTATTCGTGCTTCTAGTCGGATGGTCAATGTTTAACGGCCGTGTCAAGCGGCTGGTTAATTAATTGCGTGTTATACGATCGGGACGACTAACATTCGTCCCGAATATTTAGACAGGAGGCGTTACTATTACTTAGGCTTCGAAAAAACGGCATTACGATCTGAAGTTGACGCATTAGCGGTCGTGCGCGCGCGCGTGATCAGTTATTCGAGTGTAAAAGAATTTACGTCGTTACAAACGCGATTCCTACGGCGAAAGTGAGCGACGGTAGTGTAGTAAGAGAGGAGAGTGGATCGCAAATAGAGAACAGAAACACGGAGGCGAGTTTTTTCACGAGAGTCTTGGAATCGGAGTGTTTCCAATCGAGGACGAAAGAAAGAAGGCCGGTAAAACATGTCGAGGCTGTTGAAAGGCGAACCGACGGGCGGTTATATCATTGACTCTATCGCAGATCATCGAATGTATTAACCCGGCCGCAAATGACGCGTATCGTGGCGTAAGCGAAGAAAAAAACGGTGGCGGAGGACGAGCACTGGACATACATTGGGAGAACAGTTTTTTGATCTAACCAAAGAAAGAAAAGCAGGCCAGGCATCGTGCCTCCCACTGCCTACCGGAAGTCATATGCCCATACACGCGCGGAAAACGGTAAATCATCGTAGAAGCCATCGGCTATAACGAGCGTACACGTTTATTTTGCATTGGACCGAAGCACGCCTGCCCCTTCACCTCTGTTCGTTTTGTTTTCCTTGGTTCGCCTACCGTCATTGTTTCGTCTTTTTTTTCAGGTATGTCGACAAAACAAATATTTTGCCGATAATAGTGTAAAGCATACATATCTATATATATATACATATATATACATATTGCGCATTTAATATATATGATTTCTTTCTATTTTTGGCGTTGTTAATAATGATGTGATAATGATGTTAATTCTTCTCTAAACTGACAAGAGTAAATAGTTTGCCTTTCCTATTATATTTTTGGCGATAATATAATGATATAAATAAGACGAAATTTTTGTTATTTCTTCTCTTTTTCTTTACATTCATATTCTATTCTATCAAAATATGTATATAATAATTTTTTTAAAAATTTTTATTTTGTATGCATTATACTTTTTATAAATCACTGCTTTTTATTTATCATACTATAAGTTAAAAATTAATGTAAATGAAAAGATTAAAGAATTGAATAAAAAATAAAATTTCGTTTATTCAACGGCGACATTTCATTCGTATTCTTATTCTGACAAATTTCAAATGTTAAACATAAAAGAAGTTTAGCAAATATAAAGTTTTTAAACCCACGATATAAATATTGCGATTTCAATTTCTCTCGTTTTACATTTGCTTCTTGATAGATTTTATTCTATTATAATCGAAATTCTTACAATTCTAATTTCAAGGATAGTCTCGGCGATATTTTTCTGATTCGTTAAAAATCTGCCTTAATCGCGTACAGTGTCCCCCTCTTTCTTCATCTCATTTTCCCGCTATTTTATGGGGTCACGTGATCGTGAAAACAGTATTTCGACGCCATATTGTTCGGAGTTTCTTTTAATTTACGGTCGTGTCATTTTCGCGAAATTTCGTATGTACGTGCTTTCTAATTCATGTTCGTTAACGAAAAAATGATTGTGCAAGTGAGCGAGTAAGTGAGTGATTATACAATTATTGGATTCACGTCGTCACGATTAAAAATTATTGGACAAAAGGTACAGGAACGATGGTAGAGTATCGACATGTTACTGCAGGTACGAAATGATCTGGAACTCGGAACGATGTGTGTTTCCTCCCCTCGTTTCTCGTGTGCAGCGGCTGTTTTCTTTTTCCTGTCTCCCTCCTTTCACCTTACTCTCTGTCCTCCTTTTATCCATCCTTTTTTCCCATCCTACCTCTTGTTCCTTCTTTCAACCCATAAACAACCGGTGCCCGACGTTTGCCGAGGTTATTGGTTTTTGCGAGGGGCACGACAGTGCCGTATACACGCGTCCGGCAGACCCGATTTTTACAGTTGCATTTTCTTTCTCTCTCATTCTTTCTTTATTCTTGCTTTTCAATGTTTCCGATCATCTTCTTTTTCCGTCCTTGTCTACCTTCGAACGCGAACACGGCTATGCACACAAAAGAGAGACATATACGACGTATGCTTCACATGAATAGCGGTAGAATTCACATGAGACTAATTCTCAGAGACAAACACTTTAATTATAACGTTGCCACGCGCATATACCTACGTGTCGCACGATCGCGATATCGACGCTTTTATTAAACACAAGCAAGTTCAACGATGCTAACGCTATTATCCGATTACCGACAGAGCGTGCCATGCGTACGTTTAAATTTGATATAACGAAGCACGACCTGTTGTATTTTCTGAATAGACCATTCTTTGATAAGTATTTCCTCTGATAAGTACAATTTTTTTCATGGTTATTTAATTAGTATAAACATTTATAATTGTTACGATTAACAAAGCTTTCATTTTTGTAAATAATATATTGAATTATAGGTTAATCAAACAACACGTTAAGCTATTAATTAAAGATAAAACGTAATATCGTGTAAAATCGAAATATAAATCTGATGAAAATTTGTTTTCTTAGAAAGATATTAATAAAGATCTCGCGATGATAGATATAAACATCCAAGTTATGATATCGAATCATTAAATTATATTTATGAGCACGTTCACGACATATTCGGAATTAATGGAAACGTATTTTGATTTGTTTGATGTCATCCATGTTGTCAGCACGAAATTTGTAAAAATTTGTATATTTATCGCGCGTTAACACAGCCTTCGGATACTATGCCACTATTGCGTATTGTACACCTAGTAGTATCCTGACCGAGGTTAATATACATATAAGTACGCCCAGTTGTACGTAGTCTATTGAGGGCTTGTAGACGTATTTGGTTACAATGTTCTCCGATGAACGTAATCGCAAATGTAAGATTGTATTTCTGAGATCACTGTAATTCAGATACCGTGTTGAATCAACAAGTATCGTGTTGTCGATAGGTAATGCGAATCGTTGATGGTCACAGAGATGAGAGATTTAAGTCGATCGGAGGAAATTCCACGCGATGATGGAACGGAATTAAGAATTGCGGATGTTTCGTGCTCTATCGTGATATCATGGTCACCGGGAAAAATATCGCGTTAAACATTGCACGCGAGAAATCTAAAATATTAATCGATCCTTACGCGATCCTCGAATGGTTAATTTAATTACACTGGCCACAGCGAACCTCATACCTTTTCCCCGTTTCCCTATTTTTTTTTGTCTCGATGCTGCGTGTCAATTTTTTTTCCGTCTCCGTAACATCCACCCTATATACATCTATCGAGTACACGACAGGGGATGCACGTGTACTATACCAAAGCCGAAAAAACATTGGCTGCACTTTCTGCATCGTCGTCCCGTTGATCCGTACGCGTCACGTAGGTAGCCGGAATACGTATACACATCCTGATACCGAGTTTCGGGAATAATGGCGGTACCGCGTCCTGCCGTCGATTCATTTTTACCCAATTTCACGCACCGGTACACCGCGACCCAACCACTAGTCGCGTACATTCCCCCTCAACATTCGCGCGCCCCGCCAAAACTTCCCTTCGAAATCGTCTCTGCTCTCTATTCTTCTTTATAGCGAATTCCATCCTTTTTTTCTCTCCCTTCTCTTCCCCCCGTTTCTTTTTTATCCCGGTTCCTCTCGGTCGAAAACCGCGTTGTCGCTCTTAATTTTCGTCGCGTGAGAACGCACCCTGTTTTTGGCGTCGCGCTCCATTTTCGCGGTTCATTTTCGCCCCGTCGTGTACGTGTAATGCGTTTTTCAATTGCACATCCCGCAATCTCATCTCGCGATCTCGATAGAAATTTACTCGCCGCGTTCACGGGCGACGCTTTTGCACGCATGCATGCATCCTTCATATCCTTTCCGTTACTTAAACCGGATATAATTTTAATATACTTTACGTAAATTCGTTTCATCGAGAAATATCTTTCTCGCTTCGTCCGTCTTATTCGTGATTATTTTTGCCAGTATCTTGATATTATTCGTATCGATGTATTGTAGGGATCGAGCCATTGGTTTTTTATGAATTTATTGAAATTCTAAATTGGTGATACGAGTGACTGACGCGTTTAAAGAGAATTTATTAGAAATCTGACACTGACAGATTTAGGTAAAGAACAAAATTGATATGAAAATGTGATACAATGTACATTAATCATGTGCAGTCGGTAGTGTATATATTAGTATATGTAGATACACGATTGCATTTATTCCATGTCGTGCTCAAATCTTTTTCTCCCTTTCCCCCTCCATTCTTCTGTTTCTCTATATATACGATATATACGATCCTCGGGCGACTAACACGTCGTATTCATATTCAAATCAAGAATCTATTTTATAGGCGTCTATTTTATTGGAAAAAATTTTTAATTTCCATATCTCTGGTCGAGAAATCATCGCGTTGAACCGATCGTTGACGATATAGCGGATAGAATTTAGATAAATTTCATAGTCTCATTATCATGGTGGCTTTGTATGGCGATTTACTCGATTCTAGCCCCGTCAACATGTCGTAATGAGATTTAGTTGCCACGGTCGCGATATCCCTTGCTCGATGTAATTGTAGCAGCTAACGTTGCGTAAAGCGCGCCTGAGGTAATTAATAATTTTACATTAATTATGCAACGGTATGGTTTAACGTTCTAATTAACGTCGCACACCACGGACAAATACACTCGTGTATTTTTTTTCTATAAAATTTTCTCCCCGTCTCTTAATAAACGCGATACGCGAATGGCCGCGCGATTTCGTTTGCTCCATTTCCAGATTTTCCTCGCGGATATATTTTTGTTACCTCTATATCCAGCGGTTTCCGGTCGATTTTTTCCGCTAATTTCGTGAATTCCGGCTTAACGCAGCTGATAAATTATCCAATTTGCACGGTTCCACGGTTCCCAGCCGAGGAAATTATTTATGCCGCGCCAGAGCTGACGAAAAATCTCGTACGGGGCGACATGCCGGTTAAATATGACGCGATACGTTCCGCAATTCCCTGCCCCCAGGAATTCGCGTGATAACGCGGACACTAAAATACTACCCCAAGGGATGGGTAATTTTTGGCTACTTTTTCTTTTTTTTTTTTCTTTTCGTCTTTTTTTTGGGGGGGGAAGATACCTTGTTGTTGTTGTTGTTGTTGGTGTTTGCCTTGATAAACTTGCACGAAACGTGTGCACTGAAACTTTCTCTTTTCTCTTGAAAACCGGGATTCAAGCGGGATTATATGTATGAATGGTGGACCACTCGAAAATAAAAGCACGCGTGGTCGAGTGAGTCGCATAAGTTCATTGCTGAACGAAAAAAAAAAAAAAAAAAAGAAAAAGAAAGAAAAAGGAAAAAGAGAGGAAAAAAGAAAAAAAGAAGAAACGAAAAAAGAAGAGGGGAAGAGGAGAGAAACAAAGGAAAAGGGGGGAAAAAAAGAGAGAGAGAGGAAAAATTTATATTTTAAATAGCGAATGAAATAGGGATATTTCTGTATTCCTTGATGACAAAGCTCTTGACGACGGGACTTTTAATTAATTAAAAGTGAGCAGCAGTTGCCGTAAGCGTGCGAGGCCGCTCCCAATTTTCACGCAATTATACCCGTTGTCCCCAGTTTTGTAGGACATTTTCCGTGACTAACGGGTAAACGCCATTGTTGCCCAGTGAAAATGGATTGATGGAAACAATAGACGAGGTAGAGAAAAAGAGGGGCATAGCCGGAAGAGGGATGTGGATAGAGAAAGGGGTAAAGAGAGCTCGGTCGTGTCACCAGCGGCCAGTATCAATTATTTTCAAATTACGAATTTCACCGTAGCATAGTACAATTGATTTATCCGCGTCGTCGAGTACAGACGACGCAATTGATCCCTGTCGCTCTTTCCATGGATCGTTGAACGTCATTTTTTCTTTTTTTTCTTCTTTTTTTTTTTTTTTTTTTCTTTTTCAACCCCCGCTATCTTTCTAGCCTACTAGACCGATTACCCGCGAATTTTTCAAAGTTTTCGATTGTCTGTCGTGTATTCCATAATTGATCGAATACAAAAGACATGTCTTGTGTATGTGTGTATGTATTTTTTCTTCGGAGAAAGATAAAGATGTAGATTCTTTCTCAAGAATTGTAGAACATCGAAAGAATTGATAGAATCTAATGCCGGTGAAATATTCCACGCTTATAACGTATGCATTCGAATACCGTGGAGAACGCTTTCATTTCCAGGAAATCGTGCGCGGAGAGATCGGATCTATGGAGCCAGTCAATAAACATAAATGTACATGCGGGTAGAATATTTTATACCAATGTAATGTTAATACAATGAATTCGATTCTGAAACTGAAACGTAATGGAATAACGTAGAAAGTCACGTTATATATCTATCGGAAACGTTAAAATTCGTGCCGATAAGATAGATCCAATCTATGCAACGATTCCAACGATTTCCTATTAAATATTAATTTAGCATTACAACTCTAAATCTCTAAGTATATTTAAATACGTAGTTACCGTATTACCTCGCTTTCGATTTAGATCTTCAATCCGTGTGCTTTGTAGTGTCGTATGTATCACTCTAATCGATTTCAGTTTCGATATCTGGAAAAGCGAACAATATATTTCAAAGTAATTTTCGTTTCGATTGCAGCGTGCAGTTTTCGAGGAAATCGAAATGGTCGAGCTGTGCGGAAGCGGGCAACCGACTTCAGCGATGGGAGTGATGGGGATCGGTTCGGTGGTGTCCGCGGCTACGTCGTCCTCGTCCTCGTCTACGACCACCACAGCAGCCTCGTCCTCGGCGTCCGGACGTGCCGGGGTCTTAGAGACGCAAGTTCGTGGTCAGTGGTATCGCGTGTTCGTCTCGTTGGAGGACGATTATCTGAGCATCTCGTTGGACGAGAGCTGCGAGACGGGCAACAACGCCCTGAACAACGGTAACATAAATAACAACAACGTGGATAGCCTGAACGATCCGGACGTGCCGGACTCGGTGGCCAATCAGAAACGTATCGTGCGCGTGGTGAAAAGCGACAACAACGGTCTCGGGATCTCGATCAAGGGTGGAAAAGAGAACAAAATGCCGATCTTGATCTCGAAGATTTTCAAGGGGATGGCGGCGGACGCGACCGAGCAGCTGTACGTGGGCGACGCTATATTGGCTGTAAACGGGGAGGATCTACGCGAGGCGACCCACGACGAGGCGGTGAAGGCGTTGAAGAGGGCCGGCAAGGTCGTCGAGCTCGAAGGTGAGTGAATTACCGAAACCGTATTCCTCCTTCATTTGCATGCCTTTTTTTGCGCGCGATCGAAACGACTGTGACCGAGACCGAGTGGTTTGACCGGTATCCGTTTATCCGAACAGGTTTCTTACGTATACATACGTATAAAATCGATATTGCTCGTTCTTGGAAGAAGCGAAAAAGCGAAGGCAGTAAGATCGTCGAGTTAGTTGACGACGATATAGAGAAGATTGGACACGATCGGGATAGGTTGAGTAACACGGCAGATACGAGAGAGAGAAGATGGTAGATTTCTAAATGTCACGTAACGGATTTCTCCTGTTTGGAGAACGGTTTAATCTTCCGCAAAGTATTTCTTATTCCTTCGAAAGGCTTTGATAAACCGGCAGATCAGTGTTTAACGTTGCCTTCGTAAATAGCAGGGCCCGGTTCTCTTAACCGAATTCGATAAACGAATTAATCCGGGAACATCGACGGTTCCTGTGTTTCCCTTTGAGCGGATAATTCGCGGATAATTAATAGCCGTCGCGCGTTGCGGCGAAATCAGGATGCTCTCGACTCCAGGAAGGAATCCTGGAAACGGGAGTGTAAACGCGAACGCAGATTCATTTAGCGACGTGCGTCGTCACTCGAAGCGTCGAAACGTTCGGCCGGAAGTGGAAGCAGCTAGGCTAGGCAAGGAAGCCATCGCAGCCAGACGACGGGTTAGGGGGACATTAACGAGGTTTTCGCTCCAATTAGCCCCGAGTACACGGCGCATTAAGTTTCGACGTAGAGATTCCTGCCAGTTTCTGCAGCTCGTTTTAATATCGAATTCCCTGTCTTTGAACCGGAACTCGTGCCATTTGGACGGGCTCGTAACTCGCGTTACCCGAAAGCGAAATTCTTCGCGAGGAAAGAGGATGCGACGAAAGCATGGGGGGGGGGGAGGGGGGGACGGACAATGATCGTGCGTCGAGAGAGGAACCTTTTAGTCTAATTAATGCACCGTATAATTCCTGGGGCTCGTTCATCGGATGTTTTTTTCGAGAGATACGGTAGAATGGAAGAGAAATCTCGACGATTCTTTCTTCGGTTTCCGGTTTGAACGCGAATGAGGATGGGAATAGGTGTGATTTCCGCGCGAATTCTCGCGCTATCGTACACCTCCGGTATTATCAAAAAGTGTGTGGCTAAAAGAAACAGCGCGGGGTGAAAGGTCGGCGAGAAAACGTGTACCGTGCTGCCTAGAGCGTTAAATGGCGCCTTCTTTCCCTTCTCTCTCTCTCTCTCTCTCTTCTTTTCTTGTTTTTCTCTTTTTTTTCTCTACCGCCTTTTCTTTCCACGCTTTTATTTTACTTCCTTTGTGACGGGCTATCGTTTGTTTCTCGTACGAATCTGTTGCGAACGACACAAGCATGCCCAGTGAAGCGCAACGCGCGCTCTTTCTCGTGTTGCACATGCTCGTGTGTCCGCCTGCACTTTGCATTTAACGTTTTCCAGCCGATGCGCGACACGTGTACACGTGTGTGCACCTACATCTCTCCCCTACATTCGACTATATATATATATAGATATTCTACACACGAGCAAGCCGATGCGCGCGGCCACGTTGCACCGCTCCGGGGCTTTCAGCGCTGCCAGCTCCGGCGCGCGATTGTATGCGCGCGAATGCACCTGCACACGTTATTTCCCCCCCGTGTCTGAAAAGCTCGCGCGACCAAAAATTCGGCCGGAGAATTCGTTATCGAGCCATTTTCGGCCACGTCCGTTTACCGAAATCCGTTCCCGATCCGGACTCGAACGAAGCCTGGTGGTTTCGACTCGTAGTCGTCGTCGGTTTTCGCGAGAAATTCTCGTCCGTTGCGTTACGTGCAACTCGACCAGATGCTCGTTCGCTCTTTTCGAAACCGAACGAGTTTGAAGATCAAGGAAATGTGAAGGATCGAGCCTTTTTTATTCAAGCGCGTACATCGATTTCGGAAGGAAATCCTCGAAACGTTTCGAAAGGGGCGACGTGTTTCGACCGCGTTCCTTTCGGTGTTACATACTCCATCGCGACATCTCGCGTTGCCCGACAGCTTTTCTTTTATTCACGCGCTTTCTGTGCGCGATTTCACGTACAGCAGTAGACGCGCGATACCCTCTTCCTAACTTCTTGGTGCTTTCCTCCCTTTCCTCTCTTTCCCCCTCGGCTGTTTCGCGCGGGTGAGATGCGAGGAATGCGATACTCCTCGCTTTACGTCCGCGCGGACGCGAGAGATGCGAAAACGCGGAGGATGCGTGGGCGGCCTAGAAGGAGAGGAATACTGGAATAAGACGGACGTCTTGGAGGATAGAGAGAGAGAGAGAGAGAGTGGATTACTGGTTGACCCGGCATGGGATCGACTGTGGAGAAGAAGAAGAAGGAGGAGGAGGATTGGAGGGAGGGGGAAAGGTTCGGAATACATTAGCCGAGGATTTTCATCGAGAGCCCGTGTCGCGGCGTGGACCTCTCTGATTCCCCGCGTCTCGTTTAAGTCGAGATTTCGTCGAAAACTTCCGGTTTTACGGGATAAAATTGCAGCGGAGCCGCGATCCTCCTCCACCTCCTCCTCTCCAGTCAGTCTGACAAAGTTTCCAAAAAGGCTCGCCGGCGAGGAATCGAATAGAAGTTACTCCGCCTGATAAACGAAGTCGAATTTATTGCTCCTCCGCTTTCCAGATTTATCCTGATTTATTGTATCGACCCCACTTTTTTCCTCTTATCCCGCTCAACTGTATGAACGATCTTACGCGAAACGTTCCTTCCGAAGAAACGATTGTTTCCGGTAAAGATTGATTCGATCTTGATTTCCGTACAGGATTGTTCGAGCTTCGCGCCTCGGGAAGATAGGAAGAAAGAAAAATTTTTCTTCGATCCATAATTAATCGTTGGCCTCGTTGGCCTCGTTCCTCCTCCTCTTCCTCTTCTTTCCTCTCTTCTCGCGAAGGAAATGGCGATCGATTAGCGAAGCGTTTGAAAAATTCGCGGCACGTAGAAGTTGGCCGGCTCGACCTGTTAGGATCTCCTTACGACTTCGCGTGACTTTTCTTCACGGTTATCTATTCACCGGCAATCTGAACGTCGGGATCTACAGAATTCCTTCCACGTGAAATATCGCGTGGCCTTGATTATGGATCGCCGAGTACCCCGCCACGAGATTTTCTCGTTTTATCATCCTTTCGCTCACCACGTTACGTTACTCGCCCGAGCAATCGCGTTGAGCAATAATTTCATCGCTCGCGCGTACGCTCTCATATTACCGGATTGGGTTGCTCCGGGTTGATCGTTGCACGCCCACGGTTTACGTAAGAGTGCTTGTTAATGAGGAGGGGGCTTGGCAGGTGATACAGGTGTTGCGCGATGGCGAGCCTCGAGTTGCCATCGACCTTCGAACGATTGTTCAACGCGTTCGATTGCGTTCATTGCATTGGCCGATACCAAGCGTTTCGAGTTTCGCGGAAGATCGGATCTTCCTTTCGACTAATTATTTTTATATACGTCGTTGCGAAATTCTCTCCTCCCAACCATTTCCTCCCCTATTTTTTCAATTAATAATTTTAATTATTCTCAATTTTTATTATTATCAAGTAATAATTCTCAATTCTCTTATTATTATCAAGTAATAATTTTAATTAATAATCGCGCGATAGTTTCGACTTGTCGGAAGATTTATCGCGTTCTCGAGCACAGGTTTCATCCGAATTTTTAAACGGGAATTGGACGGAGTTGAAGCGGAGATTTGCTTGCTTGATCAAGAAAGACCATAGACGGATAGACGTAACGCGTTACTACTCGAACCACTTGAAACGAACGAAATTGTCTGCGGTTCTCGTACGCGTATCCATTTGTAATTGGAACGCGTAATTTTAGTCGGAGCGCATTGTTCCGCCGCGCGAGCTTCATGACGGATAACGTGCGACATCGTCAGGGAAATTGCGTCTTAAATCCTGGAAGGTCGGAATTCCTTTCACTGGGAACGTCAGACGACTTCGTCCTTCCTTCCTTCCTCCTCCTCCTCCTCCTCCTCCACTCTTTCCGTCACCCTCATCTTCCTTTCCATTATCTTAATCGCCTCGGTTTATGAGCTCGCTCGCTTTCGTTGAAAAAGACTTTCACCCTTGATAATCTCCACCGCGTAAAGTGTCTTTTCGCTGAATCGCAATCGAATTAGAGAGCGTGGAGATTGGCGTGATCCGTTTGTTAAATTAAATTTCACGGTGGTTACCATTGAAAAGGTACTTCTCGTTAATCGTCTTGATCGTTTTGTGCACGTTTTACAACGGTAAATAATTCGAGAGCGGATCGACGCACGGTTGGTTGCATGGATTTATACATATATATATATATATATATATATATATATATATAAACACACGCACACACGCGTATACGAATCTGTTTTTCGACGAGGTACTGAAGTACGATGGGAAGAGGGGGGAGGTAACGATAATAAGCCAAAGGGAGACGGAGAATGACGGCCGTATACGGGGCGTTGATTAGCGAAATTCAAATAATTACGCGATGCTAGAGGCCAATTAACAGGTGACGGAAATTATCCGGCCTCGTTTTATAGCTCATCATGATAATTAGTTCGACTCTTTGCCGTTTCGCTGCATAATCGTTTTCCACGTAGTACGTACACACGCGTTACATGTGCGTGTTTCAATTATAAAAGGAAGCATTTTACAATTGGTTCGTAGCGCCAATCGTTTCGAGGTTTATACAGCATGATGAAAAGACGGGGAATACAAGGTTGCAATTTTTTACTTAATTGACGTCCTGTTCTGTTGGTATTATATGAAGTATGGTTCGATCTTCGATATCCCGTTTTCGGATATTTTTGTATTTATAGACAGGTTTGATATAGACAGGTTTCCGAGAATCGTTCGAATTCGTGGAGGAATGGCTAGGATAGGATTTATCAGCGATAAACGGCGAAACGAACTTTCTGTCGTTAAATTGTCTAGAATTATGTTGGCGTTTTGTGCTAAACGCGGTATAA